AAGAAGAAAAGACTTCAAAAAGGCAATGTGGAAGGAAAGAAGTTTTGACTTTGCAACCATGTTCAGATATTTCATAAATGAATAAGAAAATTAAGTTAAGAAAGATACAGGGTAAAAATAAAAACCCTAAAATTAAATACAAGTAGAAACAAATGAATATAACTGTATTTCAAATAAATAACATAAGGATACTGTGGAAAAAATAAAACCAAGTAACTTTTAAATTCAACTCCTGATTATATGCCCTTAGCCTAAAAACAAAAAGAACAACAAACAAATGAATTCTTCTAGCAGACTTTTGTTGTATGGATGAAGCAATTCTGGAACCATCTGCATATGTCATAGAAATGAGCAAATCAGCAAAGAGACTGATGCCGCTAGAGCAGGGTTCTCACTGAAGGAGAAGGGAAATGCAAATGAGGAGGTGGGAAAGACAAGAAAGAACCAGAGCGTGTGCATGGACTCGGGTAGCATTGTGAAGCAATGAGTTTAAAATGAATTTAATATTTACATACACACAAACCAGTTCTGCCTGCCTGAGGGCCTGGAAACACACTCTAGTGGCCATGAACGCACTCAGCACTGAGTCTTGGATTTTAAATAGAAAAGGGTACTCTTGTACATTGCTGGTGAGACTGCAAACTGGTGCGGCCAATCTGGAAAGCAGTATGGAGATTCCTGGGAAAGCTGGGAATGGAACCACCATTTGACCCAGCTATTGCCCTTCTTGGACTTTTCCCTGAAGACCTTAAAAGAGCATACTACAGGGATACTGCTACATCGATGTTCATAGCAGCACAATTCACAATTGCTAGACTGTGGAACCAACCCAGATGCCCTTCAATAGATGAATGGATAAAAAAAATGTGGCATTTATACACCATGGAGTATTACGCAGCACTAAAAAAATGACAAAATCATAGAATTTGCAGGGAAATGGATGGCACTAGAGCAGATTATGCTTAGTGAAGCTAGCCAATCCCTAAAAAACAAATACCAAATGTCTTCTTTGATATAATGAGAGCAACTAAGAACAGAGCAGGGAGGAAGAGCAGGAAGAAAAGATTAACATTAAACAGATACATGAGGTGGGATGGAAAGGGAGAGAAAAGGGAAATTGCATGGTAATGGAGGGAGACCCTCATTGTTATACAAAATTACATATAAGAGGTTGTGAGGGGAATGGGAAAATAAACAAGGAGAGATATGAATTACAGTGGATGGGGTAGAGAGAGAAGATGGGAGGGGAGGGAGGGGGGGATGGTAGAGGATAGGAAAGGTAGCAGAATACAACAGTTACTAATAGGGCATTATGTAAAAATGTGGATGTGTAACCGATGTGATTCTGCAATCTGTATTTGGGGTAAAATTGGGAGTTCATAACCAACTTGAATCTAATGAATGAAATATGATATGTCAAGAGCTTTATAATGTTTTGAACAACCAATAAAAAATAAAATAAAAATAAATTAAATAGCACTCCCCACTGAAAGAAACCAAGCCTACTTGGAGAAATGACTGACTCGGAGAAAGGCACAGTGTAAGAAGACTAATCATCTTTGTTGTGGCTGAAAGGAAGAAAGGGCTCCTGAAATGAGGGAGACATGTCCACCTTTGGAACATGCAACTTAACAATCTGAAACAATTTGAGCATCAACGTCAAAAAAAAGAATGGGAAAAAGTCCGCTGAATAAAATAATCTATAAGCCTATATTGATAATTAACAAGTAACAAATACAGAAATAAAGGAAACTAATGTAGAATGCATCCTTCTTTTAGCTGTTACCTGATAATAAAGGAAGAGGAATGCTGATGTTAGAGAAAAACAAAACCACATTGCCTCAACCATTGTAACATTTGACTGGAGCAAGAATCCAGGGATGGTATAAACTCCTGAGTAAACGTTCAAACATGAATGGCCTACTTCAGGAGTTACAAAGTAGTCCCACCAGCTAGCTGTTACACAGGGAAATATAATTTACAGTGAAGAAACCAGACAGACACCACTGTGGCTCGTGAAGGTGTCAATGAAAATGGGAGAAGTGAATCCTGTGCCTTCTTCATGGGATATCATGAGAACAAAATGTCGTCTATGTGGCATTCTTGCCAAAGCTGAATAAGTACTCTGATCCAACCATAAATCAGATTATACGGAAACAGCAGATAATCCCAAAATGAGAGACCAATCTAAACCCATCAAGCACATCAATATCACAAAAGATAAAGAAAGGGTGAGGAACAACTCCAGATCAAAGAGACCACAGAGACATGTCAACTAATGGTTACATGGGGTTGGGGTGTGTGACTCAGAAGTACAGTGCTTGCCTAGCATGTGCAAGGCCCTCGGCTCAATCCCTAGAACAAAGAAGAAAAAAAAAAGTAACATGGGGACTAGAACCTAGATCAGGATCAAGAATAAAAATTTTCATTAAAAAACAAAAACAAACAAACAACAACAAAAAAACATTGAGATGGGTGCAGCGGCTCATGCCAGTGGTTCTCAGGAGGCTGCGGCAGGAGGCTAGCAAGTTCAAAGCCAACCCCGGCCACTTAGTAAGGCCTAAGCAACTCATCAAGACCCTGTCTCTAAATAAAATATACAAAGAGGGCTTGGACACTCATACATAGACAGTGTAACCAATCTAGAAAGTAGTATGGAGATTCCTTAAAATCTTGGTATGGAACCACCATCTGACCCAACTATCCCACTCCTCGGTCTATATCCAAAGGATTTAAGAACAGCATACTACAGTGAAACAGAAAAATCAATGTTTATAGCAGCACAATTCACAATTGCCAAACTGTGGAACCAACCTAGATGCCCTTCTATAGATGAATGCATACAGAAACTGTGGTATATATACACAATGGAATATTACTCAGCATTAAAAGAAAAGAAAATTATGGCATTTGCAGGTAAATGGATGGAATTGGAGAATATTATGCTAAGTAAAGTAAGCCAATCCCCCCAAACCAAAGGCAGTATGTTTTCTCTGATAAGTGGATGCTAATCCACGGGGTGAGGGGAGGGGAGGGGAGGGGAGGGGAGGGGAGGTGGAACAGGGTAGGAATGAGACAGACATCAGTGAGCACTAATCTCTAGGGTATATTAAGAACTCAAGAAGCTAAGCACCAAAAAAACATAACCCAATCAACAAATGGGCCAAGGACCTGAACAGACACTTCTCAGAAGAGGATACACAATCAATCAACAAATATATGAAAAAATGCTCATCATCTCTGGCAAGCAGAGAAATTCAAATCAAAACTACTCTAAGATTTCATCTCACTCCAGTCAGAATGGCAGCTATTATGAAGACAAACAACAATAAGTGTTGGTGAGGATGTGGGGGAAAAGGTACACTCATACATTGCTGGTGGAACTGCAAATTGGTGCAGCCAATTTGGAAAGCAGTATGGAGATTTCTTGGAAAACTGGGTATGAAACCACCATTTGACCCAGCTATTCTTCTTATCAGACTATACCCAAAGGACTTAAAAACAGCATACTACAGGGACACAGCCACATCAATGTTTACAGCAGCACAATTCACAATAGCTAAACTGTGGAGCCAACCTAGATGTCCTTCAGTGGATGAATGGATAAAAAAAAAAAATGTGGCATTTATACACAATGGAATATTAGTCAGCATTAAAAAAGAACAAAATCATGGCATTTGCAGGTAAATGGATGGCACTAGGGAAGATAATGCTAAGTGAAGTCAGCCAATCCAAAAAAAACAAATGCCAAATGTTTTCTCTGATATAAGGGGAGTGACTCGTGGTGGGTTAGGAAGGGACATCATGGGAGGATTAGATTAATTCTAGATAGGGAAGAGGGGTGAGAAGGAAAGGGAGGGGGAAGGGGATTAGCAAGGATGGTGGAATGTGATGGTCATCATTATACAAAGTACATGTATGAAGACTTGAATTGGGTGTCAACATACCTTATATACAAACAGAGATATGAAAAATTGTGGTATATATGTGTATTAAGAATTGTAATGCAAAAAAAGTACTTGTATAATGGCATAAATTGACGTGAACATACTTTATAAACAGATACAAAAAATTGTGCTCTATATGTGTAATAAGGATTGTAATGCAAAAAAAAGTAATAAGCTGGGTATTAAAAAGCAAAAAAATATCTGAATCTCTACTATATATCATACAATGGTATATTAGATAATGTGCTACTTTTGACTTTGATAATTATACCATGGGTGTGAAGGAGAATGTCCTTGACCTGAAAAACTACACACTGATGTAGACAGGGGAAGGGATATGTAGCCAATACAACCTTGCAGGGTTCAGAAAGATGATAACGTGTGTGTGTGTGTGTGTGTGTGTGTGTGTGTAGGGGAAATGTAGCAAACAAATGCAGCAAAATGCTAACAATTGATAGCCAGGGGAGGCTATGTGGGATTTCTTATGGTCTCAAGAAAGAAAAAAGAGGTTTACTGCATTAACATTATTAAAATACCTCGCAAATAGCAAAGGACCAGCCTTTCACCCCTTTCTGGCCAATTGGACCCTTAGATATATTTCTTAACTGATAAAGATTTTGTTTGCTTGAACAGGGATTTTTTTTTTGGGGGGGGTGGATTGCCAATGTCTAAAACTCATGATTTTTCAGCAAAAAAAAAAAGACGACAAATAATGAAGGACAGGGACCAATTCTCATCTTCTCTAGAAAATCTGCAAGAACAAGCAACCCCATGGCCATGGCTGAGGACAGCACCCATTGGCTGGCTTCACTGATATGTCTCCCCAGTGTGGCCCCAGAAGCATCGAAACTGGACCCCTGGCTTGGACAGTGCAGATTGCTGCCATGTGGAGGTGGCCACTGGAGGAGAAGTGGCCAGTAGTGTGGTTCCGCTGCCACCTGGTCAAGGTCTGCAGTAGGTAACTAACAGCAAGGAGTCACTTCCTTCCGTGCCCACCTAAGAAGTCCCAAATCAATTCCATGTGGTAGGACTCATGTCCCTCAGCCCACTTACCATTGAGAAACAGAGTTTCCAGTCTGTCCAGGAGCTCTGCACACTGATTCAGCTGCTCCTGGAAGCCCTCGGCCACACAGTGATCCACGTCGCTGGCCTGCAGCAACTCCTCGAACGTCTTGATCATGGTGTTCACATGTTGATGGTACATGACACAGATGCCGTGGCTGTCCTTAATCTGCTGCCGCTGAAGGGACAGCTCCCTGGCTTGGGACTGAACTAATGAATCGTATCTGATAAAAGGGGGAAAGAAAATGCTTTTGCCATTTCAGAATTGAATTTTTGTGACCTTAGCACTAATTGGAAAAATGACATAGCAAAATTTTTAAAAGCCTGCAGCTGTACAAGGATATATATGTTAGGAAAAAAATGAAACTGTACAAGGTCACTCCTTTGAGTTCAAACAGCCAATGAATGCTAGAACTAAGATCTTTCTGCAATATTTTTAACCTTATAAAGCCCTCAATTAAAGTAGAGATTGGCAAGAACTCTGAAGAACAATTAGTTTCCATATACTCTTCAAAAACACTATGCCAGATTCAGAAACAAAGGTCAGCAAAGTCACCCAAAAATCCTTAAGAAGTACAAAAAAGAAAGTGTATGGCAGGGGGGGAAAAGCCAGGATTCTCCTGTCAACAAAAAGGTCAGGGAATAATCCTGCTCCAAGCCACCATTCAGTGAGTGTCTAGGGCCTGTCAGTCACTGAGAGAAATACTGTATTTGTTATCTGATGAACTCTGCTTTTATAGAAAAGGAAACGGATCGAAAAGTTGGAAATGTGGTGAACTTGTAGGATTCCAACCATCTCTAAATGCAAAGCTCTCATGCAGCACTGCCTTGCTCCCGGCCACCAGTGCCGTCTTTTCCCTGTGGATCCACAGTGTCAGTAGGTGGCAAAGTGGCCCATATACATACACTGTGGCCACAGCGGCCTGGCTCCAGAGAAGCCTGGCCAACATTTCTGTTCACATGTTCCCCGTCCCTCATGCCAGCACTCTCAAGGCCATGAATGGACATGCCAGTATTAAGGATGGGGATCAGTTTAACGGAGGAGGAGGAACATGGGTACCAGAGTGGGACTACGTAGGTCTGAAATCTGGCAACGCTTCTGACCAGTTGTGGACACTCACAGGCAGGTCACAGCAACCTATCTGAGGCTGTTTCTTATCTATAAAAATGAGTTTAGAGCATCTCTTACTCAGGGAACTTTGGAGGATCAAATAAGGGAAGTTCCTAACCAGAGGCCTCACGTATCAGCCAGTCAAAAAAATACAAGCCTCCTTCAACCTCACTGCTTGGGAAGTCTTGAAAAACTCACTCTGCCTCCCGACAATCCAGAACAATGTGTTTGTCTCAAATTAGTGATGGATGAAGGTCAACTTTACAAATGATCCCATTTTTGCCATATCTCATGAAGCAAAACTGTATCTATTTATACTCATAAAGCATTATCTTCATGACCTAAGAATTCTTCTCTTTCAACACAGATTTATTTCTCTAAGATGACCTTAAAGGGTAAAGATATGGAAAATAATTATATTCCTCCCACCCTGCCTAGGACGTCAGTCTTAGTTCCACAGAGCAGCAAAAGCCAATAATAGAGTCCAGGAATAAACACTGTTCAGCCACAGCACTATAATTCACCCAGCGATTGGTATGAAACCTCTCCCAGGCCCCAACCTGACGAGGGCAAACTTTGCCCTGCCAACTTCAGAAGATGCACCATTTGTAAATGATGTTGGTGTGCGTGGGCACCATGTTTGTGGCCTCACATTTGACTTCTCCACAGGCCTGACTGCCTTCCCTATCACACACACCGCCTGTCACACAGCACTGTTCCCTGTAGCTCACGGGCTCCTGCCTAGTGGCAACATGGATGGACTGCAGGCTTAAGTGGGGAAAAGGCCGAGGTGGAGTGTACCTCGAGGGTGAGATCTCTCTGAACTTATTCTGCAGGTTGTGGATTTCACTGAAGAGTTCCAAGTTCAAATTCTGCTCCTTCGGCAACTCATCCCCCTGGTCCAGCAGCTGCTGCTTGAGGCCCTCAAGCATCCTGCCATCAATCATCTCTGGGGCCAGAGGATGGAGGATTTTCATGTGCTTCACATATCGCACTTGGTGCAAACTGGAAAAGGTCATTTCTTCTTCATCAGTACTGCCCTTGGGCTTATTCAACCCATCTGGGGCCCCTTCTGTCCCACACAAAACTGTAATAATGGCCTCACTGCACTGGGAGTGTTTTTGAAGCTGAAATATGAAATCCCGGTAGCCCGCCAGCTCAGCTTCCAAGTCACAGATTTTCTGTTTTAAGTTTTCCACATCATTTGAGGTACTGATGTTCTCAGACTGGTCAGTCTCAGTCACGTTGACTTTAACAGAAAGCTGACTCTTAGAACTCAAGTGAGTAGCTACTGACATTGGGCCCAGAAAATCTTCAGAATTCTCCTTGCATGCTGGTAATATGGGAACATCATCAGACAGATCTGGAAATCAAATATATGTATGTCAGCATCTCCTTTGCCGCAATCCACATCTGCACCCCCCCCCCCCCCCCCCCCCCCGTTATTGCCACAGCAGAACCAAGACAAAGCAACAGCCTCCTGACGAGCCTACCTGTCCCCTGGCCCTTCCTTCTGTTTGATTTGGATATTAAATATACCCCAATGGCCCATTTGCGAAGGTCTTGTTCACTCGGCTGTGGCTCTATTGGGAACCTTTAGAAGAGGGAATCAGTAGAAGAAAGTGGCTTCACTGGGGACAGCCCTTGAGGGCAGGATACTGGTCCTCCCCTGTGCTTCCTGGACACCAGGAGGTGAGTAGCTTGGCTCTACTGCTGCTCCCTGCCATGATGTTCGCCTCACCAGAGGCCCAAAGCAACTACACACAGAAACCTCTGAAACCTGAAGCTAAGATAAACTTATCCTTCTTCTCAGTTGATCTTAGGGTTTTTGTCACAGCAATAGAAAACTAACATACCCTTTCACCTCTCAATGCAACCTCTTTCTCAGAAAAAAAAAGTTCAAAGAGTGAACATAACCATAATAAACCAACTATATATCAAAACTCATCAGTATCCCCACTACCTACCTGAGACCTTCCATGATCTGATTCCAGGCAACCTTTCCAGGATTATCACCCCACACCAGCTAGGAGATTTTCCAGAAACTGACTATGATTCCCAATGCCCGGTGTGTGGACTCATGCCTCCAACACTTTCACATAAGCTGTGCCCTCTGCCTGGAGTAGCCTACGCTCAGCCCTCCATTCCACTCCTACTCAGTGAACCCTACTTGTCCTTCAATGCCAGCTCTCATTTTCCTCCCCTGCAAGCCCCACCTCCCAATTATGCAAAAGCCACTCCCCTCCATGCATCTTACACTTATTACCATGACAAAGCACCACAAGCTGGGGGCCAAAGCAGGCACCACAGTCAGCATTTACACAGCAATTAATAACTAGTCTGCATGCTCCTTTTCAGCAGGACTGGGTCCTTTCATCCTCACTTTCTCAGTGCTTAATATAGTACCTAGCACAGGTAGAAGTCATTAACAGTCTGGGAAATACTGAGGGACTCATGAAGCAACATTACAGAGTAGTACTTCTATACATCCATAACAGAAGAGTCCTCCTTTCAGCATTGGTGAGTTTCCGGGCGATGCCTTGATGTCCCCTTGAGTGTGAGCTGTTTCACTGACTCACACCAGTCAGGAGCCAGTGTCTATTAGCTGGCTCAAATACCAGAGATGCAGCCCAACTGGTTTGAGAAGTGGACTGCAGAACAGAGACAAAGCAGAGCTTTGGGGCCAAGGAGCAGGAGAATCACACACAGACTTGCCACCTGCTGGCTGCACCGCCTGGACAGGAAATTATAATCCCAGAGCCTCAATTTACCCTATATGGAAAATAAGGAAAGAGATGCCTCACGTGGCTGTGTGAGGTTTAAGCTCAGGCCTCACCCACAGCCTCTGTCCTTAATCACTACACCATGCTGCCTGCCACCCAGGAAAGCTCAAGAAATGGTTTGAATACTTGAGTCAGCTGGAGACAGTAGGAAAAACTCATCTTTGAAACCCAACAGATGTGTTTTCTAGCACTGGCTCTGCCCACTGCTAGAAAAGCTGCATGACTTCAATTGTAGGCTAACTGACCTCCCTGAGCCTCAGTAACTTCATTTCTAAAATGCAAAGGACTTCATTCACTGTGAAGAGTTGTGTGTGTTTGCTCTTTAGGATTCTATGGAAATGTCTGTAAAAAGGCTGACATGGTGCCTGGAGCAGAGCAGTGGAGACCAGCCAATACAAACATCCCCAGAACCACTCAAAGACAGAAGGCCAGGCCCATGGTAGGAGGCACACAAGCCAAGGCTGGCCCCAGGTACTGGGGAGCAGCGATGCAGTCTGCAGCAGATGACCCAGGACACCTCTCAGAAAATCACAGATGCATCCTTGTGAGACTGCATGTTCCAACTGCTGGTTCAAAATCTGCTCCTTATAGCTGTAGGTCCACTCGTCTCTGCTCACAGTGCAAATACTATAAAGTAAACCTTTTCATTTTGGACAACAGCTACCATGTGACCTAAAGGAATTATACAATTTTTACTGTACACAGTTGATATGATAACTTGTCTATGAGGTCCTGGAGGGTGGAGACCAGCATTCATCGGTTTCTCCACTGTCTGGCATAGTGTCTAGGACGGAGAAGGTGCTCAGTAAATACTTCTGGCTGAAGAGTGTAAGAGCACACACATGAGCACGAGGGACAGACCTCTCAACCAGGCTCTGTTCCAGTGCATCATCCCAATAGATAAGGATGTATCTGTACTACAACAACCTCATTAAAATGGAATTTGGTTCATGGCAAGAAGCAACATTTGCTCACAGAACTAAAAGTTAGTTCCAATGACTTTCATTAAGAAATCATGAGGTAAAGTCAAATTTAAGTCCCACAGGAATGTCCCTTTGTGATATACTGTGGTCAGCTTTGATGTCTGGCTACACCCCAAGAATGTCTGGGGAGTGCCCTCTCTACTCACACTGAAACCTCCACTGTAAACTTTTTTCCTAACAATGCAAAAAAATATAACTTTCAGACACTTCACACTCAATACTTTTGACTTCAGAAAGACCCCCCCAAAGTCCATAATCTCTAGCAATTTGTGATTTAGCAGAAACAAGGATTTGATTTCCTGGCCCCAAGGCCAGTATTCAGCAAGTCTCACAGCCAGAGCAGCATGGCAATGAGGCTTTGCTGTTCTCTGCTTAGCGACCTTCAGTGAAGAACCAAAGGAGCTGCTTCCACTGCTCAGTTTAACATCGCCTCACAGAAGGCCTGGGGCACGGGGAGCTTAAGGCTGTGGCGTACATGTAAACCTGCAGGTTGACCAAGGCCTCAGGACACATAGCTGTGTGCCAGGACCTGGCCTGTGTACCAAGCACCTCACCTAGGCTGCCTATCTACCACAACCCTGTGGGGCACCACTGCCATCCCCATTGTACAGAAGAGGAAGTCCAGGCTTAGGAAGCTTGAGAATTTGCCCAAGGTTCATGACGAGTAAGCGGCAGGGACCTCTGTCAAAGCCTGACTGCCTGCCCATGACATTCCAAAAGCTGCCTCTTTCACAGAGCTCCCACAGTAGGGGTCTCCTGCATTGGGGTGCATGAGTAAAGAGATAGCTGTGCACCCTCAGTGGGAAGGCCAGTCATGCCTGTGCAATCCATCATTCATACCCCAAGTGTGTACAATGGGGCTCCTGAAGAAGAAACAGCAGGGAAAGGGCCCCACACAGCCCCATTCCTGAGGACAGTTACTGGGCAAGTCAATTCAACACCAGCTGGTGGCCGGGAGGGATATGGGAGCTAACAGTGCTCAAATCCTGGGGGATGCAGGAGTGCTCCCATGAAAACAAAAGTTTAGGACTAGATCTAAGGAGGGAGCTTCAGCTAGGCAGTGGCTCAGGAGCAGTGACAATGGCGGTGCAAAGTCCTGGGTGCACATTCAGAAAACTATAGGAAGGCCACAGTGAAAGGAAAAGGGAAAGTGTCAAGAAGTCTCCAATAATCACTAACAAGAATGCCAAAGATGTCCTCAGAACCATTCATTTGCAAAATAAAAAATATTGTACTTCTAGAACTTTCCACAATTGAACTAAATAGTAGTAACACTGCCTGGTAAAGTACTTTTCTTCTCAAAGCCCAGGACACCCAGGAGCATGTGACCATTCATTCACTGCCCTGACTTCTGGCCAACAGGACCAGGGCCACAGCACGGCCTTTCTCCAGAGACTGGTGTTCCCACAGCCATCCTATGACGGATTTACTATTCCTCATGGTCATTACTTCTCACAGATGAAGGAGATCCAGAATAATACTATTTGTTTTTTAACAAAGGGGATCTAAGTTAAAAGAAAAAGATCTAAGTTAAAAAGAAAAAAGTAAGGATTCGCTCATTCTGGTTAATGGGAAGGCGGGTATATGCTTTATGATCCTTTGTATTTACCTGTACACTAGTAATACTTTCTAATTTTTTTATAAAGGACATAGAACTTGACAGTGGCCTCACTCACATCTCTACATGTTCCCACTGACCGACTCTGTGCACACCTCCAAACGGCAGCACCACACTGAACACTCACAGGCTGCTGTGTTGACCGGCCCTGGCTTTTGAGGCACCTTGAGAACAGGCAGCGTGTCTGCTCAGGCTCAGCCACCAGAACCCACACCCTGCCTGACACAGGGCCTGTCAAATGGACCATGAGCTCTTCCACCCGCTTGGCAGCTGGGTGACGGACGTGGGCTAGAGTCCCTTGTGTTAGACGGGAGCAATGTTAATGCGCTGAGAGGGTTGTTGTGGGCCTAGCCTGGCACCCAGTAGCTGCCTAATGCACACAGGGCTGAGTTCTGACCCGTCCTGAGGCTTGTCTGCTGGTTGTCATCCACCTCCCTGTCTTTGTGAGCAGAGGGCATGGCTGTGGTTCCCATCTGTTCTCCTGGGCTCTGCTGGTAGGCTGGTCCCACAAGGGGCTGAGCTGCCGGCACTGGCAAAGAAAAAGAAAAATAAAATGATAGACTTGAAACTTGGCCAAGCAACTGAGAAGAACACAAAGATACAACAGGGAAAATAAAAACACTGGGGAGACAAAATGCAATTTATAAGATAAAATTAATCTATTGAGCTGCCATAACAGGACATAAAAAGCATAAATATACTGCAGCTTGTCTGAAATGGTTTAAGTCCAGGCTCTCAAAAAACTATGAGTGAGAAAATGAATTCCATCAACTCATGCCCACTTTTCACAGAGAGAGGCCCCAGGGTCTTTTGGGAAACAACCTGAGCAGCATCTGGTTGAGACCCCTAATATCTCAGCAAGAAAGGAAAAAACCTTTCTGTAGCCCCCACATCCCTGCACAGTACTAATTATCTGCAGCTGCCCCCACCCCAACTAGACAGGATGCTCCCAGAAGGCAGAGGCTGCATCTGAGTCACAGCTCCTACTAGTGTGAGGGGCTGGGGACACAGCAGGTGCTGAGGACTACTCATTGCATGCATGAACAGATGCCTAGATGGTGAAAGAATGGATTGACAGAAGGTGGGAAAGGAAGGAGGGAAGAACAATTCTGCCCAAGCCAACCTACCTTGAAACTTCAACTGTGGAAAATCCAAGAGAGAACCTAATGTAAGACACCTCTGGCTGCAGATTATAAAATCTACAGAAGTATCATAGACTAGACTTCAAGAAACAGGAAATAATGCAGACTTTGAATGCACGCAGGCTGCTTGGCATCCAATTCTGAAAGCTATTTACTGTGGGACTGTAGACAAGGCACTTCTCTCTGAAACTGCTGCCTCCACTTAAGAAAGAGACACTGTTGAGAAGATTCAGTTGGCTTGTGTACTTATTATACATAGTAGGGCTCAACAAACAGCAGGTGCTCATTTTATTAGCACCACAGGAAATCCAAGCCTCCAACACCGTCTCCGACCCATCTCTGAGAATCCCCTGATTGGACACAATCTTCCCCTGGTACTCACACCCTTCTTGGCAAAGACCATCAATCTTTTCTCTGAAAATTCATCTCACCCATTTATGCTAAGTGGCCCAGGCTATCCCTGAGGACACTGTTTCTTCTGCAGGCTTCCCTGTAGTGATTTATTCTCCCATCTCTGTATCATGGATCTAGAAGTACATAAGTACTTCCACTTTTCACTGCCACTTCCAGATCATTCTGTCTCTTCCCCCAAAGCTCCAACTTCGAAGCTCATGTTGCCAGACCATGCTGCTAATCCTACCTTACTGCAGCCATCTTTGGTCATCCGCTGGTTTACCAGATCCCTGGAGATTTACTGATAATTTGGCTCCTGGCTTCCCTATTTCTCTGTGTCTCTTGACAGTGCAATCTCCCAGAGGTGTCTGTTCTTGGTGTCAACATTTCTCCTCCATTCTCCATGCTAATCCAGGCCAATCAAGCCCCACACATTCCATAGAAACAGCTCTTTAAAGCCCCTGATGTCAAATCCCAAGGTCCACCCTCGATCCTTGTCTGAGGCACCCTACTAGCAATGTCTGACACAGCTAACTTCTCTCTACTCACTTTCTGAGGTGTCATGCTCTCTTCGCTCCCTACCTAACTGGGTACTTACGTGGACTCACACAGATCCTGAGGCAGTGATGTAAAACACTACTTATGTGCTGACCTTACCCTTCTGCAAGAGGACTCCCAGCATTCTTAGATTCCCAGAGGGCACCTAAAGTGCTTCCTCCAAGTCTCTGGATGCTGAACATTAGGCACATTTTTAACCCAGGGACCCTTCCCCAGCCCCCCAACGGCACCCAGGAGACCAGAGGCAGCAGATTCAAAGTGAATGAGGCGGTAGGTCTCTTCTAGACAAAGATACGAGGTCACTAGGGTTCCAAATCTGCTCCAAGATGGCCTGGAGAGTCCAGAGAATCCTCTAAAGGGGACATTCACTTTCCTATTTTGTATGCCTATGGCTTCCAAAGACAGAGCCAGGCCAAGATGCCCAGCTTCAACACATAGCAAAACTGGGCACCTGCACACAACTCCAAGTGAAGGCAGCAGAAACCCAAGACCTAAGAGCACCACAAATCCTGTTTACCCAGATTCCAGGATAAAAAGAAAGCAATAGATTTATCTTCTGTATTGTTTTCCTCCATTATATATTTGTCAAGAGTTAAAAATAGTCACTGCAATTCATGAAATTTATACTAAACAACAAGGTGGACACTTCAGGTAGCTCTCCGGGCCACCTGGTTCATAGAGAAGGCGCTTCTCCTGGTGCTTACCATTCAGCAGCATAGGGTCAGGCATTGGCCTCCCCTCCATCATTGCCTCAGCCAGAATCAACTTCTGGTGCAGTTGCTTATTGCGAGTTTTAAACTCCTTCAGCTCCCCCTGCAGCTCTAGGATCTGGCCCTGTAGCCGAGCTATCACCCCCTGGGTGGCAGGGAGATGATACATATTTCCTAATGACCGGGATGGTTTTATGAGGATGGGCAAGCGGGACTTCTTAGTATCCTGGGGAAAAAAAAAACACACACACACACACAACAATGAGAAAACGTCAAATGCACTTCCTTTGGTTGCATGGTTGACATCCTCATGCTAATCCTATAAAGAAATTCCAACTGGCTGCCCAGACTTCTGGATCCTATAACAGTATCTATGTCAAGCTTCCCCGACACCCTCTCAGCCAGGGCCCACTGTCTCCCAGATGATCCAGATGTTCCACGTGGGGCAGTTCTTTTTCCAACACAATCTTCTGGAAAACTTTTTTTTTTTTTTAACCCTATTTTCTCTTTCTCGCCCACTCCTAGTGTAAGCCAATCTGCCTTCCCCCTACTGCTGGGCCACCAGAACAACCCCTTATGCCAGGGGCTACTGAGTCTCCAGCCCGGAGCTCCCAAACTGCTCGTCCTGGGCATCTTCATTTGCAATGCCTTACAGGCTGTCCAGGGTCAACTGAAAATTCAACTCTTCACTTCCACTACACTGTGTTCCCAGGTCTATGCCACTGTCTTACTGTCTTGTCTGTCTTGGTAAATCACATGACCGTCCACTTACTGCACAATCCAGACACCTGGCATCATTTTGAAGCATCTCTTTATTCTCATCATGCACTTTCTTCACTCACGGGGTTCAGAAAATTCCAGCAACTCCATTTCTCTCAACTCTTCCCGGCCTCCACTTCCACCACTAGCTACCACTAGCTCTCCTGGGCCACAGCCTGGGTGTCCTGAGTGGTCTCCAGCATTTACCTTTGCTCTCTCTATCCACTCTTCACGTTGCGGCAAAAAGACAAGCCTGCTAGTCTTCTGCTTAAAACTCCTGTAATTTGCTTCTTGGTTCTCTTACGACAAAGGTCCAAGTCCATACCACAGCCTGCAAATCCTGCAGAACCCGCAGTCTGCATCATTGCCCCTCTCCCACTCTACCCCACTCTCCAGCCACATTGACCTCTGTAGGTTGTTCAAAATGCACATTCCCCTTGCACCCCAGGGCCGTGGCCTATAATGACTCCTTTGCCTAGAATGCTCACTCTTGCCCATACCCACTTCCTCCACTTACCCTAAAATCATTCATCAGCACTCAGCTCAACGTGCCTTCCTCAAGAGAACCTTGATTTCCAAGACCAAGCTGAGCCTCCCTGTTATACAGTCAGTGTCCCCTATAATTCTCCTCGGAGGACATGAGTAGTCTCATTATGATTTCATGTTCACTATCTTCTGCACCAGCCTATAAGCTCCAGGCTGCACATATCTTGGTCCCCAGCTTCCAGCACAAGAACTAGTTCACGGTAGGCTCTCAACACTGTGGGCTGTACATACAAACTATAACTGCAGAGGCCCAATGAGGTATCTTTCAAGTGGGGAATTTTAAACATTCCCAAAAGCTGCAGAGAGGAATTTGAGTCTAAAATACATGAAGAACTAACATAACTCAGTAAAAAAAAAAAAAAAAAAAAAAGCTCAATTAAAAGATGGGCAAAACATATCAATGTTTATAGCAGCACAAGAGCTAAATGGTGGAACAAACCCAGATGCCCTTCAGTAGATGATGGACAGGGAAACTTTGGCATACATACATAATGGAACATTACTCAGCATTAAAAGAGAATAAAATCATGGCATTTGCAGGTAAATGGATGGAGTTGGAAAATATAATGCTAAGTAATGTAAGCCAATCCCAAAAAACCAAAGGCAGGATGTTTTCTTTGATATGAGGATGCTGGTTCATAATGGCGATGGGACTGGGGGATGGGAGGAATGGAGGAACTTTAGATAGGGCAAGGGGGTAGGAATGATGGTGGAATGAGTTACACCATTCCAGAAAAGATGTCTTCAAGTGCACAAATGCTAAAGCCACTCTCAGACTGAAATGATGGTGGAATGAGTTACCCTAAATACATGTATGAAGACACGAATGGTGTGAAAATACTTTGTGTACAGTGACTTGAAAAATTGTGCTCTGTATGTGTAATATGAAATGAATTGCATTCTGCCATCATGTATAACAAATTAGAATAAATAATTTAATTTTTAAAAAAAGATGGGCAAAAGACCCAATAGATATTTCTCCAAAAATGTCTTATAGCTAACTAATAAACTCATGAAAAGATTCTCAACATCATTAGTCATCAGAGAAACGTAAATGAAATCATAATAAAACACCATCACTTCATATCCATTAAGATGGCTATAATCAAAAAGATAACCAGTGTTGGTGAGAACCCAGAAACTGGAACCCTCACACACTGCTGGGAAGAATATAAAATAGATGGGGTTGCTCAGAAAAAGGCCCAGCAGTTCTTCAAGAAGTTAAAGAAAAAATTTTAAAAGGAAATATTTGGCACCTGAGGTATGAAGAAATCACCAAAGTCCCTTCGGGAAGAAGGAACAGTAGGGGCCCTTCTTCTTGCACACTCTGGGGTGTAAAACGCTTTCAAGCAGTCTCCCATGCCCCTCAAGTAAGCGCTGCATTCTCAGAGCTCATGGGAGAATAGAAGGCATCCTGCCTATTTTCTAGATGAACAGCTGAAATATCAAACACCTATGTTTGTCCAATGTCAAACCACAAGAAGGTACAATGGTCAGGCTCAAATCAGCTCTTCAGTCCCCAGCGCTCAGGAAGTGAGATGCTTTCTACCTGGCATTCCAGGAAAGAAGACAAAGGAGGTGAGGGGACCACTTGGGAGGAGGCTGTTGCCTCAACAACAATGGTCAGAAAATACCAGTCATTTGTCTCCACCAATCTCTATTTTTGGATCCAAATCTGTGTGTCATGTGGCAGCAGAAAAGATATCTTCAAGTGCACAAATGCTAAAGCCACTCTCAGACTGGAAGATGGCATCAGTCAACCTAATGCCAGGCCTAAAGGAGTGCCACACAGAGTGCTACTTATGGACTCCAAACACAGTCCCACCTTCCACCTAAATAGCCACGACATACTGGAACTTCTTACTTGGGAATGAAAGAGGACAGGAGCCCAGACACTGTGGGCTCCTACCAGGTACAAAGTGCAGCCCTAGGCATGTGCAACACCTTGCCTCACTCTGCCACCTGGCCAGCCCCAGGGTCTAGGTCACACTGTCCCATTCCAGCCACTGAGAGAGGTCAGGTGACTTCCCACCCCAAAACTCAACCAGGTAAGTGGCCAAGCCCAGTGCAAACACCAGGGAGGCATGTCCGTAAAGCACGCCCGCTCAGCCCTGACTGAACAGCCAGGAGGACACCAGTCTCAGTCGGCCTCGGCGACCATGATGCTCCTCATAACAGGAAAACAGAGTTTGGCCTAAGCCATGGGATTATCAATTTTGTGGCCACCAAAGTCACAAAGAAAATCACTAGCGTTTCTGTGCATACCCTGGAGCCACGATGGTGACAGGAGGCACGCAGGTGTGTGATGCAGCTCTGCGGCCTCTACGAGCAGACGAGCTCACAGCCTCTCGCCCCACCTGCCCACTGAGTCACTCTGCACGGTTTTCTGGACCTTATAATGCCAACATTTCTTCATAAGTAAAATGTGCATGATACCAAACTCACGCCCTTGCTGAGTAGATAGAATAAGATGAAACAGAATTTGGCACAATCCTTGGTATATATAGCAGATGACAAAAATAAACAGTTTCCCTCCTTTTGAAAATAAAAGCAAGAAGTATAATTTCAAACTAAAAAAAAAAATATTTAATGTATTTGGGGAAATTAAGTCCATTTAATTATCCAATTTTCCTGAACACAGGATGGCATCTCCCATACAATAGAAAGAAAGCAAATGAAAAACAACAAAACAAAAAAAACCCACCTCATTTTCCTAATATGCAGGTACAAACCAAAGGAGCTGGGGCAGGTAAGAGCATTTCTATTCTAGCCAAATTGCACAAATTTGCATTTTGAGTACCATTAATATAATGGCAGTAGTTTTTTTTTTTTTTTTTTTTGGTCTCTACTGATATCTTTAGAAAACCCTTTTCTAGAAATTACAGTTTTGGTGCATAATTTAAAACAATCAAAAGCAATTTTGCTAATGATATATCTAACTCTCTTTGGTATGCACAAAAGCAGTAATTTAGTGGTCAGAAAATAAACTTAATTCTCCATTCTGATGCTATGAAGCACTGTGTACAGTGGATTTCTCTGCTACAAAACATCCGTCAGAAGTAAGAATACAGCAGTCTACACTGGAGCTCTAATAGAAACCCGACCTATTTCCCTCTCTGCCAGAACACATCTCCCTGCTACCGGGATTCTCAACCCCAACCTTCTCCCACGGGGGCTGCTGTCCAATAGAACATTGCCAAGAAAGTCTGATTCTTAACAATCTGGCATAGCTGACTAATCTGCAGAGATGCTCAGGGAGAGTCCCTAAGTGGAAGGGAAACCAACATTTAGAGACCTGCTCATCAAACCAGACCCCACCATTTCAAGCCACCATGGCTGCCAGGTAGCTTGACCAGGGAGAGGGTGTGGCTGTGCAGTCAGACACAGTGTAAACCTCAGCTCAGCCCTTAAGCACTGCCACACCTGGGCACGCAGAACCTGGCTTCAATAGACAAAGCTCTCAGAACAACCCCTTTCCTATAAAAGTCCTCAAAATAAAAGCCAGGTCTCATCCTTACTTAAAGTTGGAGTATTACAACTTCACTGCACCCTGTAAAAGGAAATGTCCATGGGGGAAAGTGTCCTCACAGTGGACTCTCATGCACCCATTCTAAGAAGACATGTGAAATGGTATGAAAGAGAACGCCTTGGACAGACGTGCGCCTGTGATTCCCTGTGGGATTTTTCTGAGGAAAACACCAAAATACCATGCTATACAGATAAATGAGATAGTGCGGGGGTACAGGAGAGACAGAGGGTGGGGATGGCGGGAGAGAGGGAAGATGGGAACACTAAGGAGGACCCAGGCCTCCAGGTGTAGGCCAGGAGCAGCCCAAGCAGGGGGAGACACTCTTCACAAAAACAGGAAAATGGAAGTAATCTTTCAAGTTTTTGTTTGTATAAAGTAAATACATAATTAATGTTTGCACAAACTTACTTTGTGGCTAGCACAGGGGCCGGAGAGGGGAGTGGCCTGCTGCCCTGGAAGCTGGCACCAGGTCTCTGGCTGGGGCTCAGCATTCAATATGGTGCCAGATGGCTTCTCTCCTCCTTGTCGGAATCCAAGCAGGTCACCCTCCTTGGCCACAGTCTGCACTGAGGCATCCTTGAGCTCCACCTTGGCCACTTCGCCTGTCTTTGCCAGCTGATCCCAAGTCAATTTCTGTTCATCATGTGGCTTGGAGAATGAGCTGGCTTGGATGAAAGGTTCAAGTTCACCTCTTTGCTGAATGGCCATTTGCTGAAGTGTCTTCTCAGTTTTACCATCAAGGTGTTTTCCAGAAACTTCCTGCTCTGCCAAGCATATTCGTTCCAAAAGCAAGTCACCTAGCATTTTCAGAAGGTCTGGCCTGTTTCTCCAAAGGGAAGGAAGTGGGAGAAATAAGCTTCCTGCTACACCTTGGCCCCTACCCACCTTCCCAAGTTTTCCCCACTGACTCCTACCCAGATTCTGCCTACATGAAATACAGTGAGTCCCCAAATATACCAGGAACCACACCAAGCATTTTATCCTGTATAACCTGACAACACCCAAATAAGACAGACACGACGACATCTAACTCATAGATAAGACATGAGGCACACAGCAAGTGAGCAGGCTAGGCCCAGGAAGGAGCAGGTGGGATCATAAGGTGCCCCACCCTCCCCATACACAGGGTTCCCAGCCCCACCCCACAGCCCTGACTCCATTCCTACAACCAAAGGCATATGTGGCTTTGGATGAATCTTACCAGCCTGGCTGGTCCATGGGTGACCTGATCCATCTTGGTGCAAATAGGTACTCAAGGAACAGATATTAATGAAGGGATGTTTCACTGACATGCACACAGGTACAGATACAGGTTAGAAAGTACCTTGCCTTTGAAGGCGGATAAAAATGGCTTCAGGGGCTGGAGGCATAACTCAGTGGTAGAACTTTGCTTAGCATGGGTGAGGCCCCAGGTTCGATCTCCAGAATCACACACACAAAAAATAAAATGGTTTCGAATTCTAACTTCATGGTTCTTTGAAAGGAAGACTGAGTGTCTCTCCATAGGATAGCTATGAGGACAAAGCAGTGTAGTGTCTGGGTGGCAGATGCTTTCCATACCCCTTGCCAGTGTCCTTGGCCCACCTCTGATTCAGTGGCAACTGTATGAGCAGTTCCTGTGGACATAGGCAGTCCCATCTTGAGTGGCCTCTGGGGCTCTTTCTAAAACCTGAGCCAGCCAGCAAGGCAGTGTGGAAGTGTGGGATGGCTGACACCTCTGGGAGACCCTCAACCCATGGGGCAGAGAACCCGTGACCCAGGCTCCATCCTTCAGAGGTACAACACAGGTCATACTGTCCCTTGGAAGATGCCCAGTAGGATGGGCCCCCACTGCCCAGCAGTCACCAGATCACTAATGTACCTTTCCTGGGTAGGACTTCAATCCTGTCTTTCTCTCCCTGAGCTCTCATTTCAGCTCCCTGGTGCCATATCCCAACCAAATCAGTTGTACCCATGTCCATATCTCAGGGTCTGCTTTCCAGGAAACCAAAACTTAGCTATCCTGTAGAACACCTGGAATGGCACCGGCACGCAGCGGTTCAAGAAGCCTCCTTTGTGTTTCTGTTCCAGCCACTGTAACGGGCCCTCGGCATACAAAACCACCAGTAGGGACTTAGATTGGTGTTAGAGGCAGGTGTTTAGCAAGGGAAAGTCACTGTAAAGTCCACTCAGGGTGTGGGGACAATGTCGGAGGGGGCTTCTAAAGTCCAGGAGAGGCCATCCAGGGGTGGGGTGCTGGAGCAGTCGAGGCATGGACAAGATGATAAGCAAGGGGGCCTCTGAAAGGCCTGCGGTGCGGTGGCTGCTCACACATGTGTTTGGAAAGATGACTAGTTGATGGGTAAAGGACAGATTTCCTGTCAAAATGGTGGAGTGAGCACATAGGAGTTCCTCCTACTCCAGGGTGACTGCAGAACCAACAGCAAAAAAGAATAAAAGAATTTTTCAAGATGCAATTCAGGGCTCAAAATCAGGATTTTAAAAAATGGAGATTAGAAACAGAGGAAGCGAAGCCTGAAAAGGGGGCTGGGATGGTGCAGAAAGCATTGGAGCCAGGAATGCGACTTGCGTGGTGAAGTGAGAACCAGGCAAGTGCCCAGGGCCCTTAGTAAGACCCTGCAAGACCAAGCCGAGGCACCTCAAGCCCACACGCAGGAAGAGGAAGGCCGGGTGCTGCCTGTACAGGCAACCTGAGCTTGCACAGGAAAGCCACCACTAAGAGAGACAGCCCTGAGAGAATTCACACCCAAGAAAATGGAAATCACATGGCAATCTGAAGACTTCCAAATAAGAATGTGCAAATAAGGAAGAAAAGAGAGTCCTAAGAGAAGAGGGAGGGATGAGACTGAGGTAGGGAACTGTGGAGGAAGGGAATGGAGAGGTGGCTCCAAGGTGCGGGCATGCGGCTGGCAGGGAGAAGGAAACAGGATGGGCCTCCACTATATTACTTCTTATTCTTCTTCCTTGGTTTCTCCTTCCTGCCAGTTTCAGCAAAACTCGTAGACAAGCCAGGCCCTACCAATGCCTTTAATACTTGCTGGTCTTCACTCCCTTGGACCTTCACTACCACTAGAAATGACAGGCACCCATTTATCTTCCTCACTGGGTCCTTGGAAGGCAGGGATAAGGCTCTCCTCATAGCTGAATTCCCATGATCTAGATCAGGGGCCAAGTTAACTAAATTCAAATTAAACAGTTACAGCACACTGAAATGAACAAAAATAAATAAATAAAGCAAGGGGGGGACCTAAAATGTATAGCACATTACTCTTTTCTAACAGGAAGAACCTAGATATACAAACCATCTGAAACTACAATAAGCCCAGACTTAAAAAATATTTCTGGTACTCTAAGCATCAGGAGATGTTAAACTGATTTTCCTTTCCTTTCCTTTAATACAAATAAGAAATAATGACAATTGCAATTCAGCTAACCAAAGGAGGACCATTACTCACCACCAAACAACACGCAATAAAACCCCAAAAAAAAGACTTTACAAATGGGTAGTAAAAGGTGCAAAGAGGCCGTTACAATATACTAAAACAGTGCTGCTATTAGATAAAACATTTCAAGTGCTACTTTGCTGGGAATCTGAACCACAGATTCATTAAGCTGTCACTGGAATCAGGACCTCTAGAACAGTTCAGTCCAAGGGTCCTGTCAGAGGCCCACGCTTCTCTGCCTTCCTGAGCACAAGTGCCATGCAGATGGTATAAAACAAGGCACCGACCTCACTAAGCTCTTGCCATGCTCCAGATCCTTTAAACACACTGATTCTCATCCTGACTGAGGCAGGAACTATCAGTAACCACATTTTATAGGTGAAGAAATGGGCTCACAAAGATTGAGGATCCTGTAGCAAAATATTAGAACACAGAACTTTCTGACTCCCAAGAAGCACCAACAGTCTCCAGTTTTCTAGACTCACCTTCTGCTATAATGTTAAGCTTTTAATTGTCTGAAAGTTTATTCAAACATTTACTGAGTACTCTTCATCTGACACACAAGGCAGCAGTTACACGTGGTAAAAGAGAAACAGAGCTTACCTGTCATTAAGGACGAGACAGACAAACTCTGACACACACACTAGAACTAAGGAAGACAGGAAGGGATGAAAAGTACCATGACTAGAAGGGAAGAAGGGAGGAGGAGTGAATCTGAAGGTAAAGCAGAGAAACAGGGATGCTCTTTGGATGGACTGGTCGAGAAAGGCCATGCTACAGAACTGACACCCAGCCAAGACACGGCCAGGCCTCCACACCAGGCACAGGGCACTCCAGGTAGAGGGAACAGCTGTCACAAGGCCTGTTGGTGAGAACAAGCCTGGATGGATGTGGAACGGTAACAGGGTTCAGCTGGGAGTCTGGGGCCCAGTGAACTAGAGTGAGTGACGAAGGCAGAGGAACAGAGAGGCAGCTGAGCATCTCCTATCTACCTCCAGGGGCAACAGAGACCCACTGGAGAGTTTTAAGAACGGAAGAGACATGATCTGATCTAGGTTTCTAAAAGCTCTTGCTGCTCTGTGGAGGACTATGGAGGGGCAGAGGTGGCTATAGAAGTGGCTACAGGCAAGGAGGTGTGCAGTTGGGGAGCCCAAGCAGGAGATAACAGCAGCTTGGACAAAGGTAGGTGCGGGGAGATGAAGTGGCTGAACCAGGAATATAGCCCATCTTAAAATGGACCCAGGAGGATTTGCTGATGGATATGGGGCTGGAGGAAGCTACACTCTTGCCCACAGCAATTAAGTGGATAGCAATGCTATTAACAGACATGAGGAGGAACAGGGAAGAAGCGGATGGGCACACTGACTGGGTTTTGTGGCAGGGGAAGATGCCAAGGGCAGAAGCCCTGCGTGTTCTGGGTTACAGGAGGAGAGATGGGGAAAAGAAGGGGCTGAGAATGCAGCTCTGGGACGCACTGACGTTCTCCAACATGGGAGTCTGAGGAAGCGCCGTGGGCAGAAGGAAAACAGAAGGCCAGGGAGATCTGAGCCCAGATCTCACAGTCTGGAAATCACTGCTGACCTTGATAAGTGGACTGAGGGTATGAAAGCACTTACGATGGGATAGGCAGCAAATGGAGGAAGAGCACACACATGGTGAACACAGACGTTTCTTTGAGATACCTTGGCTTGAATGAAACACGGAAATAAAGAAATGGTATAGTCACTAGAATGGACGAAAATCAGGGCACAGGGGGTACTTTTCCCAAATGTCTGATGTCAAGGCATGTCTTATGCTTCTGGAAAATGGTTCAATGAGAGGAAAACAATGAATGATTCAGAAAAGAGAGAGGACTCAGAGAGGACAGGAATTAAACCACAAGGGGAGAGCTGGTGGTGACTAGGAGCAGGGACTCTTCTTCTACTCCCACAGTAGGAAAGACAGAGTTTGCACCTCCAGAGGCAAGCAAGGGTTTGAACTGAACTGTTGCTGTCTTCTCCATGACATAAACAGCACGGTCATCAGTCAGGTGGGAAAAGAGGGAAGAAAAGCTGCAAACCAGCCTGACTGTGCCATGCCGAGCACTCACCCTGGTACGAGTGAGAATAAATATGAAACGTGGCAAGTCCTATGAATGTGTGTAACACAAGTACCTGGCCAATCGAGTCCTTGAGGAGGGCTGGGATGCAACAGGTCAATGTGAACCTAGGTCTCGGGGTGGGGAATGGCAGCAGCAGCCAGCAGCGCTCCTTCAGCCCCGTGGGGTAAAGAAGCACCACCCCCCAACACACTGTGCTGATGAAGAAACTGAGGTGGGAGAGACAGCACGAGATCTGAATGGTGCAGCTAACAGGGCCCAGGCCCATCCCACTCCCACTGTTTTGTCCAGTGCAGTGAAACACCTCCCTGTTGGGAAGAATTTCTAGACAGAAGACTGGTATTTGCCCTACCAGTAAGAATACTGAGTATCTCCCCAGAAAATGCTTTAATGGCTCTGCCACTAACTAGCTAGAGAAATATCAAGTCCCCAGGTTTCAGCTCTTGTCTTTATAAAAAGATCACTGACAGGAGCATGCAAAGCTGGCATGAGGGGCCTGGCAGAGTGTGTGCAGCTCAGGACGTCAGCAGGGCCCTTGGAACCATAGCTCTACTGTCAGGGTCACTGGTGAGGTGAAGGACAGTGAGCAGTAACGATGAGTGGGGCAGTGGATTTGCACTGGCACAAAGAAAGCCGTTAACACCAGCACTGACCAGCAAGGGCCTGGAAGCCTACGGAACAAACAGACCTACAAGGGTGCCAGGGAAGGAGCAGGTAACTGAGCGCAGGCGCTGCCAGCCTGCTTACAGTGCCGGCTCACCAGGTGGGGCCCCCCCGTGCTTGCCTGATCTTTGGTTGGGGCTGAAGATCTCCTGACCCCTGGGGCAAGGAGCACCCTTCCCATCCGCCTCTGCCCTCTGTTTACACCAGCCGAGAACAACCAGTTCACACCACCCGAGAGCATTCCTGTGGTCCTCAGAGACAGCAGTATCTCTTAATTCTGATGCCAAGCCTGCTGGTGCTTATAAAATGCTCTATTTCTCAAGTACCAGCTCTGGTAACCTCACTATCCTATAAACCAGAATAGCCACTGGGCATGTCCCCCAGGAGGCCTCACGCTAGGCAATGTTAAGACATCAGTGAGTAGGGAGGGCAGCTTTGCCGAGCACAAAAACAGAACACTGCAGCCCTCTTCTCCACTGAAGAGAAGTCCGTAGAGCAACGTATTTTTCAAGCTGTTGTAGAAACTGGAGGTTTCGATAGAGCTGATTCCTCTCCCAACAGTCAAGAGGCCCTTTCCGGGACTCCGAGGAACCATTCTCAAGGAAAGCCTTCTCTCCCTCTTCACAAAGGGCTTGCAGGAGGCGCTGGGAGGGCCCCTCACAGCCTCTAGCCCGATCAGTTAATTGCAGGACTGGCAAGATCCCTCCAGTCCCTTCAGGAGCTCTCAGGTGCCCTGCCCGGCTCCATCACCCAGATCCACTGGGCAGAACGAGCACCTTCTCCCCTTAAGCCAGGCCCGGGTCGTGTCCTACCTGGATTCCAGTGACAATGCAGCCTTCTCGTGCAAGAAAGGGGCAAGCAGACCCAAGAGCTCCCCTGCTTCCTGGCTCTGGTCTCCGGGGCAGCCAGGCTTGTAGGCTCCTTCATAGTCTAAAATATTGGAATCCGTGTGTCTTAAATATCCATTTTTGTTGCCTAATTTGGCGTAGTCCTCAGTGATCTGCAAATATAAGTATTCAGTCAAACAATGGAATGTGGAGAAGGAGGCGCATGGATGAGAAAACGTGGAGACGGAGAGCACAGGTGTGAACGCAAGTGAGCACAGGGAAGGGGAACGGGACAGGGGAAAAGAGGAGGAGACGCAGACACACAGGGAGCCGTTTACATCCCTTCTCCTCGGCTCAGTTTCCTCATCTACAAACTGAGGGCCGTCGTGCTACCTCCCAAAGTGGTCTGGAGAATGAAATGAGACGACCCCGTCAGGTTAAAAGTCCTCTCACTACAGGTGCACATTGCACAAGTGTCCTCCTGCCCCATGGCCCCCTCCTTAGAAGGAGGTTCCACAGAACCTGTGTCCTCAACAACACTGTGGATGTTTATTATTAGTCTTGAGACGTTATGTCCCTTATTATATGCCAGAAATCCAGCTTACTCTTTACAGACTCTCACTAATGAACACAGTACTGAAGTGTCTCATTAGGAAGGTGGAGAGTTCCTAATTCCCCCGGAGATGTCATTCACAGAACCACCTTCGTGGTCAGGGAGGGTCCCAGCAGAGTGGCACCAAGGAGGCGTCCAGCTGGAGCCTGTTCCAGGCATGTCTCGAGGTGCTACAATTAGCATTCCTCCTCCCCTCGTCAAAGCTGTGAATTTCTTCTATGGTCTATAAATAACTCCTCTTGACTTCATTACTGTTAGTGAAATACACACTAGCCATCACCCCCATCTCTCACACTGGAAAAATGATTAAGGTATTTTAAGTGGAAGACAAGACCCACACAAATGAGCTGTTATTTATAGGTCTTGTTTGCCACCATTTTAGTTATTAAATCTTTCAAATAAGCAAAATCCAAAGAAGGAAAAGTCTAGAATGCAATAATAAAAATAGCAGTTATTGTCATTTATTACATGCCTATTTAAGTGTCATAACAATCCTAAAAGGAAGTGTTACTATCCTCATTGCTGAGGAAACTCAGCCAAGCAAAGGCCAGCTAAGGTCACAGAGACAATGGAACCACAGCCAGACTCAAAATAAGGGCTGACCCAAAACTCCTTTTTTTTTTTTTTTTGGTGGTGGTACTGGGGTTTGAATCCATGGCCTTGTGCAGATGAGGCAAGCACTCTACTAACTGAGCTGTATCCCCAGTCCCCCAAAGCTCCCATATTTTAATTGCTTTGCTCTCCAAAACTATCTGGTAGTTCATTTTCTCCCATTCACGACTCCATAAACTTGAACACTGACCAAAAGGCCAAACCTGCAGCCTGCTATTGCTCACCACATCTCAGCTTCCAAGAGCCTTTCAACCTGGAAGACTGTCTACTCCAAATGTTGGGGAGCAATGTGGCTAGAAGAGTATTCTTTGTGGATGGGGGTCAAATTCTCCTAATGCTCAAATCATACCATTCTGGGTTCCAAGAGACTGCAGAGGGCCATTCCACTCCACTGGTGACCCTTACACTACAATCAAATGATCCAAGAGTTTGTCGTAATCTAGACATGACTCTGTCACTTAGTTACTCTGTGTCCTTCATAAAGCACCTCCCCTCACAGGTCAGTGTCCAGTGCGTAAAATGAATGGGCTGGGCTAGCTCTCCAAACTTCTCTCCAGGCCCACCCCGCAAGCCCTGCCATTCCAAAACTCTCATTTTTATCTGCAACTATATAACAGCCCGGGTGCTTCCCAAAGGACTCTATCACCCAGGTTGTAACTTCAAATAGAAGAGAGCTGCTCCCCACTGGCACAGTAGGCACTCAACATGGGGGGGATGAACAGAAAACCCACTGGACTCCCTCCAGACCGAAGCCTGGCTTGTGCACAAGAGTGGGGCAGATGGCAGAAGGAGTTAACTGCCATGTTCCTACCTCATTACTCTGCTCCAAATGCTGGTCATTCTGGAAATTATTCTCATCATCCTCTCCAATTTTGATCGTGTCCTCGTCCTCCTTGCTAGCTAGAAGCTACATGGCATGAAGCATGGGATGGTTTTAAAATGCAACCCAAAAAAAGTGTGCAGCATGAATGTGCACAAATAGCACGGTGACGTCTGTTTTTTAAAATGCAGAGCAAAAAACAAACAAAAAAAGGCAGAAACAAATGCCAAAGCCATGAAATAAAAATTAGCCAAAGTTAGAGGTGCTGGTTCTGTCAATCACATGCAGCTGCCTAGAATCAGCATAATTTAAGGACAAATTCCCCAAGAAATCACTGTCAGCTTTCTCTGCCCTCGCACGGTCTGTCTGCACTGCTGTAAATTGAATATGCTGTCTGTTGTGCTGCTGCCATTTCTGCCTTTGCTAAATCCACTTTTGGATTATATAAAAGTAACAAGATTTTGGAAAATGGCTATTGATGGAATTGAACATATCAAATAGCAAAAAAGCAATAAGTGCTGTACCCAATTTATGCATCATGTCTCCTATTTAGCACAGGGCATAAAGCTGTTGTTAGACTGTCACACATCTGAGATGGACAGTCCCAGCAATACTGTCAGTTTGCTGACAAAAAGTCCTCATCACTAATGAGGAGAGTACCAAGCTTGCCTGATGATAACTTTATGCTTGTGGAAATGAAGGACAGATATTTATGAAGACTGCATAAACCTCAAAAGCTTTAAAGAAGTACAAAACCCAAAGCTTCTGCGTTGCCATCTTCTGGAAAGGACAGGACAAAGTTCTCCAGAAAGTCAGACCTCAGCTCTCCAGGAGAGCAAAAATCCCAGCTATGGAACAGTAGGATTAACCAGATCAAAGTAAAAGAAGAGGAAGCCACTCCAGGAAGGAGCCCAGTCAATCAAAGCTGCTTCAAACCCTCCTCTCATGGACGAAGTAGCTGGCTCTACACTGAAGGTGTTAAAACTAGAGAGGACTGGTTCACTTGTGGCACACTATATGAGCTACTTACGGTTCTATCTCCACAATTTCATTTTATGCGTTCTACACTCAGCCCATTACACCCATAACTCTCCCAGTCCAACTTCAATTCTTTCAACCTTCCCTTTTTGAGGAAAAACCTTGTTTTGGAAGAAGAAAAACAAAACAAAGCAAACTGACTTTAGAAAGTCACTTTATAGAAACCTTTCAGATTCAAAATACATCCAACATACTCACATCCAAGTACACAATCATCTGTTTATCCTGTGAAGCATTATACAGAGCCCAGGTTCTTGTTAAGGCATAAAAGTTCACAGATACAGGGAGTGAGGAACACTCTCTCTACTGGCTTCTTTCCTTGTTATGAAAACATTCTAAGTGATACAGACCAACTAGGACTATCAAACTTGTTGGCAAGAGCATTAAAATGTTAACCCACTTCAGAAAAAGTACTGGCAATTCCTTATAAAACTATAACCCAGGAATTCTACTTTCAGGTTTAATCGGGTGAGGGGGGGGGGGGCATGTCCACCCAAAGACTTGTACGTGTTCACAATACCTTTACCCAACGTCTATTCAGAGCAGATAAATACACAAATGTGTCACGTATTCATATGATGGAATACCACTTAGCCACAAAAAAGAACCGGTGACTTATGTAAGAACACAGATCACCTCCAAAACATGCTGACCAGAAGAAAAGCGGACACAAAAGATGTGTGATTCCATTTATACAAAGGTCTAGTATAGACAAAATTAATCCACAGCAAGATAAAATTAACCCGGGACAAAATAAGAGCAGCAGCTGGGGTTGGGTGGAGGTGGGACTGACAAGAAGGGAAACAAGGGATCTTTATGGGGTTTGGGTCACAGGTACACACATTTATAAAACAGAGCAAATGCAGTCTGTATATCACTGTTTGCAAATAAGACCTTAAAAGAAAAATAAACTATAAACATAAAGCTAAAACTAGAGTTTAAATATATGCATGCTGAAGTATTTAGACTTATGTTTGCAATTTAAAAAAAAAAAACTTATCAAAAAGAAAATGGAGTGATAGTGGACAAGTGGGAAACGTTAATGGCATTCAGGTAGCAAATCAGGTGCTCCATGATCTCTCACTCATGCAGAATCTTAAAAAGTTGATTTCATAGAAATTAAGAGTAGAAAGTGATTAGCAGAGTCTTGGAGAGCAGAGGGGAGGAGGAAAGGAGGAGATTTGTGGGTAGGTACTGAGGTACAATTCTACAGGAGCAAGAGGCTGACTGGACATAGCAGTAATGAACAACATAAAACTAGAAGCAAGGATCATGAAAGTTTTCATTATGAAGAAATATTAAATGTTTGAGGAAATAGATACGTACAACTTGACTTAAATATTATGTTATATATACACGTACCAAAACATCACATGTTAGTAACATCTATAATTTTTATTTTTATGTGTCAATTAAAATACATTTAATTTTAAAAAGAGATAAGATGGATGATGGTGGATGAGTGGGAAACGATAATATAATAGGAGAGGGAACCTCAGGTGTTCACTATAATATTCTTTTCATTTTGCTGTATCTGAGTTTTTTAAAATAAAATGTTGGGAAGTGGGAAGTAGCCTCTTTTTTTTTTTTTTTTTGGTACTAGAGATTGAACCCAGGGGCACTCAACCACTGAGCCACATCCCAGCCCTTTTCTATGTTTTATTTAGAGACAGGGTCTCACTGAGTTGCTTAGGGCCTCGCTAAGTTGCTACAGCTATTTTGAACAGGCGATCCTCCTGCCTCAGCCTCCCAAGCCGCTGGGATTACTGGTGTGGACCACCACTCCTGGCTAGCCTCTCTCATCTTTTTAAAACAATAAAATAAAAACAACTAACAAAAGTTCTCTCTGTCGTTCTCCAAGCTTCTAGAAAGTGTTCTTCTTACCTCCTGAATGTGGCTTTTCCGCCTTCAGAAATTGCCCATGAAAGTTCCTCAAAGACCTTCTGGATTAGGAGGTAAAATCCACACGGGGTGAGGGACAAGGGAGGAGATGGCCCTCCCTGCCGCCTGTGGCCAGGAGAAGAGTTCCCCTAAATCTAGCTGAGCAAAGGAACTTAACACTCACCATTCCAAGGTGAGACAGCAACAGCTCTGAAGCCCTTCTGCATTTCAGAACCACAACCCGCCATTACTCGAGGCGCCGAGATACACGCTAACTTTCACTTCTCTTCACCTCTGCTTGACTTGATCGAAATTAAAAATAAACACTCATTTTTCAACAATGATCAGAAAACTAAACGTTGGGGACAAAGATAAATGGCCCAAATGCCACGTATGACTTAGTAGTTTTCGAAGACACAGAAGATGTCAGAAAGAACCACGTCACTGCAGCGGGGGCTCTGCCTCCAACCCAGCCACCAGCTGGAGAAGGGGCCGCCACACCTCCCAGGGCTCCCTGGACAGTCTCCATACACTGAAGCTGGCTGTCCCTGTCACCCTGACAAAGGGCACAGGTCATGTGACTCCCTGGAAGCCCCCTGTTGCCCGGCCGCTCACTCCTTAAGTAACACCATCGGGAACTCTGCTCTCCTGGTCCTGCCCCTTGCGCTCTTTCTTCCTGGTGGCTTTGCAGCTGCCCCTCCTCGGCCTCCTGCTCCCTGCAGGCACCAGCCACATGCTCCCCCGGTTCGGCGTTCACCCCAGCACGGCTCTGGCCACACTGCTCCAACTGCCCCTCTGCTCGTCGCTGTCATGCTAGGCAGAACAGGGGTCATGTTTGTGTTCACGGTTTCAACATCAATGCCTGGTGCTCCAAAAAACACTACTGCAAGGACAAAAGAATGAATAAAGACCCGAGTGAGACGGAACCAGAACCAAGCGGTTTTCAGAATTATGTCTGCTCTTGCTACTCAGTGTGCTCCTTAGCAACAGTGCGTCACCATCCAGAAGCTTGTCAGAAATGCAGACTCCCAGGCCCCATGCCAGGCTTACAGGACCAGAATCTGCATCTTAACAAGATCCCCAGGAAATTCACATGACTGCTAAACTTAAAGACAACTCCAAACAGAGCCAGAGATGGCTACTAATTCCTACTCTGCCACTAACTTACTAAAACAATAAAATAAAAATAGCTGTGTTTTATTGAGTGTCTACTATGTGCCAGGCAGTGCCAAGGGCTTTATAAAGCATTTAAAATTCATAATATCTTACACAGGTGAATTGTTGGAAAGTTCCTTCTTTTAATAAAATTAAATCCACTTCAACCAACCAAAATGTACCCCATTATTGGTAAGGGAATATTTAACAACCATCTTCTACTTCTGAGCACTATCTCTGCTCTCTAAAGTCACAGGAGGTCTATTTTCTGTTCAACATGACAATCCTAGAAATACCTGAGCTCAATTAAATTCTGCTCCTTTATCCATGTTTTCTCTCCATGCAAAAAACCAAAAACAAAACAAAAATACTTCAGTACTCTAACCACACCTAAGAATGACAGTATAGCCACACAAGTAAGTAACGGGAGTGACCAGCTTTTCTGATCACTTGTGATGTTCTGGTACCTGTGCCTTACACCATCCTGCCACCTAGAGATGGCTGTCCCAGGCGCTGCATGCTTCATGGTGTTGGACGCTCACCACCCTGGCTGAACCTGCTGAAACTGCTCCTGTACAGCAATTGTCCAGCAAATTCTCCTGATGCTATATCAATTAAGGATCAGTGAATAGATATAAGAAAAGGGGGGCCAGCTCAGTAGAGAGTGAACACATGAACAGGCCAGGCCCGCTCTTGGTCTCTGTCTGGTGGCTTCTGCGTGAACCCCATGCATGCAGGGAAGGCGTGCCCCTCCCAGCTGGTGTGCTTCCAAACGGGGAGTCAGGAGAGGAACTCAACCAACTGTCAGGCATCCAACCACTTTTACCCTTCTTCAAATTAACAATTGTTGGAAGAGGGTATATGAAAATAATTTGAATGCTCACTGTATAGCTATAGCTGTCCTTTGACCCTGAAATTACATATCTGGGAATATAGTCCAAGGAAAAAACTCCTAAACACAGAAGATGATTTGTGTACAAAGACAATCAATATGTAATTTAAAACAGTTAATCACTCGAAACAATCTTCATGTCCAGCGAGAGTGAGGCAGTTATATTTCAATGCATTCATAAGATGGGAGAAGAGCTATGACTTGATGGCAACTGGAAGAAACAAGATACAAAACTGTATTAGTCTAATTGCGTGCGTGTACACAAATATGGAAGGAACAATTCCAAAATGGTAATTAATTAGGCCTCTCAGAGTGTCAGGATTAGGGGTCATTTCTTTTCTCTATTTTCTGAAGTTTAAAGACACAAAATATATTTGCGATAGTAGAGGATAGGAAAGGCAGCAGAATACAACAGACACTAGTATGGCAATATCAATGGAAGTGTAACTGATGTGATTCTGCAATCTGTATACGGGGTAAAAATGGGAGTTCATAACCCACTTGAATCAAAGTGTGAAATATGATATATCAAGAACTATGTAATGTTTTGAACAACCAACAATAAAAATTTAAAAAAAAAAAGAAAAAAAAATATATTTGCTTCTTCCCTCCTCTCCTTTTTTGATTTACAGGCTCCTAAGGAGCAGGATCGTGCCCAGCCCCCACCCCACAAGTCCTGCTGCTCAGAAAACACTGTGGAACTTGTATGCATGTCTGCCTTGCTCCTCGCTGAAGGAGTCCCACACAGCCTCCAGAAGAACAGCAGGCTCCCCTTGCTGTCCCCCTCCCCGCCTCCCTCTGCTCCCTCAGCTCCAGATTATAATAGGCACACCATCTTCCCCATGCCCATCTCCTATCCCCTGCCCGGGGGAGATGGGAGCTGTGCTATAAAGGACAGGGCTATTCACTGGGAACATCAAATTGAAGTGCAACCTGACAAATGACTCAAATCTGAATCGGCTGGTATTAAGATCTTAGAGTGGGCAGAGGAAAAAGCCTCTGTTCTCCAAAGGACATAATGGGACATTTAACAGATTTTTTTCAAAGGACAAATGAACAAACAAAACTCGCCATTTACGACTCAAATGGAGTTGGTGAAGAAAGAGCTGCTTATTAAGCATGCTGCCTTGGAGGAAGTGAACCAGGAGACTTGTTTTCCCTAAATGGATTGCAGTTACTCTCGGTTTTCAAAATTATCTGAGCCCTGGAGGCCAAGATCAATAATATTCCCTGTCTCAAAGAAAGCAGATGGCCAGAGCGCAGCATAAATACCTGTGAGCAGCTCCCACTTTGAAGGCGGAAGGAGACAACTTAAGGCTGACAAATCTTTCCCAAAAAATGACGTTGACTATGAATGTGGGACCTGCACTTTCCTGATGCTCCAGGCTGAGTTCCAGACAACCCCAACCAAGAAGATTGTGGTTTTGCTCACGAGGGACCCAAGTACAAAAAGGTCCTTCTGTACCTGATGGCAACAGTCCCAGTCTTCTGTGCATGGAGCAACCCTCCTGGGGAGAGCAGGGCAAGCCAGGGACTGGAGGAAGAAAATCACATCCTCCTCCCTGCCAGCACGACTTCAGGGTTCTCCCACTATACAGCGCAGGTTAGGAGCAGAGAAAACCAGAGACAACACAGCACAAAGATCAGCACTGAGACCCAGAAGTCATCCAGGTGAATTTTCAGCGCAAGTATATAATTGCACATGTATTTGAATGTGAATGGATTCACTAAGGCTGTATCTACACTACCCAAATTATCTGGGTGATTTGGAAACTCTCTAGATCCCTCTGAGACCACAACACTCATCCAGCTGTGCCATCTGCAGCACAGATCCCAGAGTGGGACAATTGTCGAAAGCATCCCAATAGCGATCCATGGAGACAGGAACTGAACTGTAGGATGCCTGTGGACACACCTGCTGACCTAACAAGGTCCTCAACACCCGCCCACAGAAGAAAGAAAGTTTCAGTTACAGACCTCCCCAGAACAGAGGCAGTCTTGAGAAATGTTTGGGGTTAGTAAATTTCTGCAATTAGCACATGACAATGAGAATGCTGCTCCTTACCTCTCTTTGTTCTGTTGACTCAGGTCTGCCATTTCCCTGGAAACCCTCACAGGAGAGATCAAAAAAGGTTTTCTTCAGACGCTGGTTGTCTGTGTAGAGTTCCTTCACCAGCTGTATAAGTTCGCTGACCTGAGAGATAAGAGCAGGGAGGTGGAGCCACGGCTTTAAGGCAAAGTGATCCTCAGCAAGCTGCCTAATCTAAGCTTCAGTTTCTCATCTGTCGGATGGGTTACTGTGAGAACTCACCATGACCATGTCCCTGACACCGGCTCAGTCAATGACAGCCAACGCTATCTCTGCCTTGCATTGGAGGCCTCTGGAGGAAAAACACCCCAGTGGTGAAGTTTCTACAACTGTGCCAGGGCCTTATTTTACAGCACAGACCTTCCTTTCACCTAGCAGTGTCAGTAATAACAGCCGTCCATTACAAAGAATGTTTATGGCTGCTAACATACTTCTGCAAGTTAGTCAATCGGTCCCTCAAGGATCCTGAGGCAGAGGACAGGATGGCATAAGAATCCCCATCTTACAGCTAGGAACCAGAGATGCAAAGACACTAACTTCCCAGGGTCCCAGTGTGGCAGCATATAGGGAACCGCATGAAAAGGAACAGCCACAGTGCCAGCTCAGGTAGGAAGGAACAACTGTCCCCAGAGGGAACCAGGACAGAAGGAAGACCCCCTCAGGTTCCAGGTCCAGGGCTCCTCCCGCAGTACAGGTCAGCTGCAGGGGCAACTGAGCAGCCACCACCTTCGTTCCCCGCCAGCTTCAATTCCCTGTGACTTTTCAAACTCTTCTTAATGGGAGTGGTCACTGGGCCTTCAAATAAAGTGGAAAACCCCACCCTCACTACACATGGTGGGTATATTTGATGTATTTTGAACATGAATAAATTTTATCCTCAGGGAGGATATGGTGGGAAGAGCGCGACATTCTACATGACTCACGCGACTACGTGCTGCCCTGGCCACAGCACAGCAGCTACCACCATCTCCACTTTCCTCATCTTCAAAAAACACAGCTGAGGGCTGGGGCTGGGGCTCAGTGGTAGAGCGCTCGCCTCACACGCATGAGGCACTGGGTTCGATCCTCAGTACCACGTAAAAATAAATAAATAAAATACAAATATTGTGTCCATCTACAACTAAAAAAACAATTAAAAAAAAAAGAGCTGACTCTAGACTCCTTGCCCCGCTCCTCCAGAAATACCCAAATTCTTTGTTGTTGTTGTTTTATGGACACAATACCTTTCTTTTATTTATTTTACCTTTTATGTGGTGCTGAGGATCAAACCCAGGGCCTCACAAATGCTAGGTAAGTGCTCTACCACTGAGCTACAACCCCAGCCCCCAAAATACACAACGTCTTATGGTTCTCCTTGCTATTACTTACATCGCTGCCTTACATGTTCTGCTTTCTCTCCATTGAGAAAACCGTCCACCTGGATACACTCCTATTTATCCTTCAAAACCCACTTGGAATGTCACTTCTGTTGGGAAGCTTCCCTGGATCAGGCAAGCAGCAATGAACTCTCCTCTGCTGTCTCTGCACCTCGAGCAGCTGCCTCACACAGCAACCTCTGCACTCCGTCCTGCAATTATTTGTTCCCATTTCTGTCCTCTTGGTCAGAATGTGAATTATTACATGAAAGAAACTGAATCTCTGTCCCATGTATGTGATAATTTCACAATGTACAACAATCTCCTCTGTGTTCACATGGCTTATTCTTAACCAGGATTCTTAGAACCCTGAAACCACTCTCATCATACCACCTATCGACAAACTGAAAATCCTTTCCCGCATTGATCAAACTGGAACCATATTCATTCAAAAACCATCTATTAGCTCCTACTATTGTGTGCAGGCCCTGGGACATTAGAAATAAATAAGACATGATCACTAAGGTTGAGATGCTCATAGCCTAGGGACAAATAATTACAGCCCCTCACGAATGGGAGGACATCAATTTGAACTGGGTACACCTTCGCCCAAGGGGAAGGAAGTTCACTCTGTGTGGAGGGGCTAAGAGCTGTCCCTGGATGACAGGAGTAAAGGGACTTTCAGAATCACACCTCTGTGATCAGGAACCCAGAGACAACAAATTGAAAAAAGGAAAGAAAGAAAGTTATTAAGTCAATACCTTTTTCTTAAGTTCTTCTTGAGAAAAATGCTCCACTTGAAACTGACTGTTTTCTTCAAGGCAAATACTTAGATAAGACGTTTGATCACTATAAAATGAAAATGGTTCTTCTGTCCAAAAACAAAGTGGGGGGGTGAAAGGAAGAACATCAGAACAGATTTTCGGGGACCAATCCCAGCTCCATCCACCTAAAGCACTCTGTAGAGGGTGGGTGAGGGCACAGAAGCAAGGAGTTTCCAACACCACCTCTGGAGCAAAAGTAACCTTCCCTTGCTCCACAGGCTGCCATCTCAGTGCATGGTTTCATCTGGGGCTGTAGGCTTTAGTTGGCCAATTCTGAATTATAATCTGCATATCAAGTGCTGTGTCTGGAGACCATTCTGAATGGCATAAGCAAATGGTGATTTCAGTTTAAATGAGCGTGATTCTGTTTAGGTGAGAATATGGGAAAATGAGATGCGACCCCAAGGGTAGAACTCAAGGGAAATAAAAGTGCCTGATGTATTTTTACTGGCCCCAGAGCCCTCGTGGAAGCGAGTACACCAAGTGCAGAAGCGGCCTGCTGGAGCCAAGACAACAGCGCCTCGGTCACCTCGGTTAGAATGTGTCATTGGCTTCCTCTGCAGTAAAGGACACATTCTAACAGAAGGGGCAGAAGCAGAGGAGAGGGAAGACATTTGCTGAGAAAGCCACAAGTACAAACAGTAGCTCATCTGAAAATACACATGGCTAAGTGCTGGAGCACCATGACAGTGGCAATGACAGGAAGAGCCAGACCTCAGGACACCCTGGCTCACATCCAGGCAAATCCACCCAACCCACCCCCAGCTCAGCTTCCTCACTTGTGCCTAATGGGGTGACTGTGAGAATCGGGTGAGAAGGGCGGAGCATAGGAAAAGCCTATGCCCTGTACACAGCAGGAGTCCAAGAAATGTCAACCCACCACGGCCATAACCAGTTCCTACCATGTGTGCCAGGCACTGAGCTAGAGCTACAGAAAGCAATAAGCACCACCCAGACTTCAGAGCTTCAGTCTAGCACAGGACAAGGCCAGATACACATGATGAGAACTCAGCAGGGCCACAAGGGGTCTCTTCCTGTAGCCCTCCCTGAATGAAGCCACCCTGCAATGCTAAGCATGTTTCGTGTCTGCCGTTCCAGACCCTCTGCAGGGGTTCCACGGGAAACTGAGCCAGTCAATGAGGGGGTAGGCAGGGAGAGAGGGAGGGGTTTGCAAGTCCCCGAGGTTACCTAGAATTGGGAGTATCAAATGATGCAGAAAATAGCAGAAGCAGTAGGGACACCACCCTGCAATGGATCTTCTGCAGTGTTAATACAGTTTACTGGGCTCTTCTGCTAGGAAGGCCGAAGCTAGACAGAGAAGACTGGGCAAGCCAACATCAACACTATCACCCCATAAATGACCTCCAGAGGAAACCCTGCGGCTGCTCCACCTCCTCATGAAGATCTAGGGCTCTCTTAAGTTCACCCAAGGCTCTCCAGGTGGACAAAACAACGGGAAGTACAAAGAAGAGAGTGTGTACCTTCCCGCCTCCGAATTTCGCTGATCTGCTCCGCCAGGCTCCTTTGCAAATTCCGATACGTAAGCACATCCCGTTCCAGTTGCTTCCGCAGGGCAAAAATGTTGTTCAACTCTGCCTGCACGGTGTCCATACTTGACATAACAAGACATCAGAAATTTTAAAATAGTCCTAGTAGTGCTTTAACAAGCAAAGACCAGCAAGCCCTTCTGTGATTTTTATGCTACTTGTGTTTTCTCTTGTTATAAAAGTTAAATATATGTTTACAGAAATAAATGTTCACAGAAAATTTAAAATATAAAAGTATAAAGAGAACAAAAATTATCATGATCCCCACTACCAATTAAAACACTGCAGACCATATTTCCCCTCAATCTTTTTTCTATGAAAATTTCAACATTAATATAATAAATGCTGAATTGTGCATTCCTTGCTTAAATATTTCCCCACATTTGTGGAAATTATTTGCAACATCATTTTTAATGACTGTATAAATTATGTCAGGTGAATGTCCCTCCATTTAGTCTAACTCATTCCCTATTAGAGAACACTTGGATCATTTCCAAGTTTTGCTATAGATGTAACCAGGTGGAAATAACCTGCTTTTCTAGCATGTTCCTCTGTTTGGAATAACCCCTTGAGAAGGTTGGATGGAGGGGAGACTCTCCAGGTCTGAGAGTCACTCACACCCAGGCTTCAGAGAGAAAGGAATTCTTTTGTGTTCCCATCAAAGAGGTCATCCTGGGGGGAAAGGGGAGGGGCAGGAGAGAAGAAAAAGCAGAGGGAGTTGACAGTGAGAGAAAACGACCAATCCAGGGGCCAACAGAATCACTCAACGCTGCACAGGGTGCATGGATTTTTATTCTGGAAGAGGGAGGGTCAGGTTTCACACCCAGATCAGCATAACGCGCTGCTGAGCTGTGTAGACAATATGTGCGAATGAGAAGCTCAGAACCTGGGGGAAGCCACACAGACGCACACCTCACAGAGTGTGCACTCATCTTGGAGAGCCCTGGCTAACAGAACTTCCCCTGAAGACAGAAACAGTCTGTATCTGCAGGGTCTAATACAGTAGCCACTAGAATGCACCTACTGAACATCTGAAATGTGGCTTAATGCACCAAGGAAGTGAATGTTTGTAATTTCATTACATTTAAAATAAGTTTAAATTTAAATGACCTAACCACTCTTGGGTATTCCAGTGGACAGTGCAGATCCACACACCAGGCCTTGGACTTCAACAGATGAGAACTGGCACAGGTCTGAATACTCAAACCCAGCTCACAACTGCACAGCCTGAACCTAGGTGTGGCCTGGCCCCTGGGCTGCTTTCTTAAGAAGGATTCCAAGCAGTGCTACCAGCAGGTCAAAGCACACAAGCACTTTAAAGGTTCCTAAAACACCTTAACAAATCTGAAAGCCTCCTTTATAAAATCACTTGAGAAATATTATCCTTCCCCATCCAGCGTCCATCCTACAGTTCCCTAAGAGGGTCCATCGGCACCTTGAAACTAAGCTTCAAAACTGATGACTACCAGACTGCTCTAGGGAGAGGGCCAGTAAGCTTCCATCTGATTCTCCCCAGTGTTCTGAATCCGTGTGCCACACTCACACCCCACTGGTCCTTCAGAGACTGTTCTCCAGCTCCATCCCTCGAACTGCACACAAATCAAGACATATTGGAAGGAAAGTAAACCATTCCGTCCAATCTTCTATGCTTGCTGCTTTGAAGACGGTTCACTGCAAGGCACCCTTCACGAATGGCCAAGGGCCTGACTGGCGGTCCCGATGATCAATTTGTACAGCTGATGGGAGTCCTTCCAGAGGAGCACAGCACTCACTTGGATGTGGCTGTGCTGCTGAGGTATTTGACCAGAGGAAAAGGGGAGACTGTTTTAGCAAAGCTCCTGCCATCGGGGCCAGGGAAAGCTAACTGCCACGGTCCCCTTCCACCTCTGACACGGAGAAAAGCACACAGCTGCCGTGTGCACACAGGAGCCCGTCATTTCCCAGCTCCAGAAGTTTCTCAAGGTGAGAAGTAAAAAGTGCTTTGCTCAGAAAGAAACAAAAGCCTGTGCAACCTTCCTCCCGGATTGGGGCAGGGGGCCGGAGAAGGGGTGGTGGGCAGGAGGAGTCAGAGAGCCCAGCTCAAAACAGCAGGCCACCACTAACCTTAACCTTGCCTCCGTGGCCATGTCAGTCAAATACCTCATCTGTAAAATGGGGATGATACCTTTCCTTTGAACTGTTTTGAGGACTAAATGATAGTCCTATTACATGGGAAAGAGCTTGGCACGGTGCCTAATACATTCTAGATACTCGGCAAACACCATTTCCTTCCTCCTGCATACCCCAACAATTCCCACAAAAAAGATGATATTTATGAGCCAAAATTTCTGATTCTCATGAGTTACAAGAGGGATTCTCATCTGGAAATGATTTTGCTCCCCCTAGGAGACATTTTGCAATACCTGGTGGCATGTTTGATACCACAAGAGGTTGAGGGAGTGAGTGTGCTCCGGGGACACAGCCGGAGATACTGCTGAACACCCTAAAATGCACAGGGCAGCCCCTCATGACAAAAAAGACATCCAGCCCCAAGTCCCAGTACTGCTGAGGTTGAGAGCCCTTGGTTATAGGAAGTGTCGCTGAACTAGCCCTCAAGATGCAGGGGTGGCTGCGAGGCCTGGGCTACAAAGCCAAGGGGGTCAGGCTCTGATCACCCTTCACCACAGGCCTTAAGGAGCACTTCTGTCACATGAGCTAAAGCGCCCACATCTGAGCACTGAAAAATAGAAAGCAAAGGTGAAAGAACCAACAAGCCTCCTCCTCCCTGTCTGTGTAAACCCCAAGTACACCCTGGCCTGCAGCCACCACCCCACTGCCAGTTCCCAGAGAGAGAGCAGTGCTGGAGTTAGACGTGGGGGCTCCTCCTGGATATGCCCAGGGCTGAGGATCCCAAAATGGCCTGGATGCTAAGCTGATGCATATGGGGGGTACTGAGGCACGTGGAAGCTTCCCATGTGTTTATTCTCAACAAGTGTTGACGTTTACTGAACACCTACTATGTGTCAGGCAGCATGAGGAATTTACACACTATCATCCCTTGTATCCAAACTACCTTGTAAGGTAGGTGGGCAGGAGGAGGGTAGGAAGAGGGTGGGTAGGTGGGTGGGTGGGAAGTAGAAGGCAAGCAGGCACTTGGCAGGTAAGCAGATGGGTGAGCTGCTGTGCAGGTAGGTAAGCAGGCCACACCCCCACTCCACAACACTCTCCCAAGAGCCCAGAGCAGCTGAGTGGCAGGGCTAGATGTGGACCAGGTCTGGCTACCCCTAAACAAAGTCTGAAGATGTGCAGAAACCTTTTGAGCACGGGTTATCCACTGCCCTGACCCACTGCAGTCCCATCCACGTTTTTATTCATTAGGAAAGAGGCTGTGAAACTCGGAGCCATTCCGGTGGAGAGGGCTTGAGAGCAAGCACATCTACCCACAGCACCTCTCCCGCCCAGAGAGGCTGCACAATTAAAGTGAAATTTGTGCAGTTTCCCCACATGATTGAACCCCTCCTCTGGTGAAAGAGACCAGCTGCTGAGGTTTCCTGAAAAAGCCCACTTTCAGAGATGCCTACGCCCCAAATTTCATCAGTATGTGTTTGGTTTCTTCAAACTCATTTCAGATCTTAAAATCTGGAAATTATCTACTAACTTGGACGATCCGTGCTAGGGTCAGACATTCCTGCAGAGAGCATTTCCCAGGCTCTGGGAGCTGCAGATGGCAGAGGAACCCCTGGTCCTGAGGAAGCTCCCAGACCAGGAGAGCAGGTGGAGCAGCAGAGACGCCCACGCATCAGGCAGGCAGTCAAGAGAGAAGATGCAGAGGGGCAGCAGAACTGGGGGTCAGCCAGGCACCCAACGAGGCTGACACTCAAGCTACTCCTGAAGAAGGAGTGGGAGACACAGCAGGAAGGTGGGGCCAGGAGCACAGAGGACAGAGGACAGCAGAGGCAGGAAGAGACGGCCCAGCAACACGGTGAAAGCAAAGGGCATCGTGAGAGAGAAAGAGAGGTGACGGTTCTTAGCTTCTTCTTATGGAAAACCTTGGACACATACAAAAAGACAAAGTAATGGGATGAGCTCCTCCTCATCTGCCCACTCGGTGTCCCAACAAGCAGGGAGCCAGGGCTGACCGTGTTCCGCCCATTGACATCCCCACCTACTTCCTCTGCTTCTGTACTGTTCTGAAACAAGTCCCAGACGTCACATCCGTTCAACTGAACCACTCCCATGGGGAGAGAGCTAGGTTTTAATGCAAGAAATCCCTGAGGCCAGTCCTGCAAACAGAGGCCCAGAGCAGGCCAATTGCCTGGGGACACCGAACCAGAGGGCAGGGGAGCCGGGACTATACCAAGACCCCTGGCCCACAACTGGCTCTCTTCCCCACACCTCACTGGCACCAAATCATTTCAGCCATCCTGCAGACACAAGTCACTCTAAGACACAGAGACATGTTGGTGTCCCGGAGTTCTCACAACACCTGTGTGACTTTGGACAAGCCACTTAACCTCTCTTAGCGTCAGTGGATTCATGTGAAATAGGGAGAACATTTTCACTTACCTCACAGTATAGCTGTGAAGATCGTGTGAGATAATACACAGGGAAGTGCTCTCTAAATATGTGATAAAGTATTTAGAAATATGAGTAAACACTATATTTTTAATCTAATTTAGTTGCCAAAGATCAGACAATTCTTGATAGAAAACAGGTATAACAGGTATTGTAAGGAGACAATCACTACCTGACAACTGTGTACACTTCTTAAGCACATGTTGGGACGGCTTCTCTGGCTCAGGGTCCATCAGCTTTTCCAAAAACTGTGTGCATGCTCACCCACACTCACAGGCGTGTGATGTCCAAATAGAAGGCCTTACCTGTCTGGGTCCTGCAGAGACCTCACCAGCTGGGCATAGATGTCCTGCTCCTGCTGTAAGACCTGTATCAGCTTTTCATAGTCTGACTGTTCCTTTTCCTGGAAATGATGGTGGACATCTGACTTTAGGGGAAGGATCTCAAGAAGACAGCCTTATATTATACAACGTATGTGACCAGTTGTGTGTGTGTGTGTGTTATTTATTTATTTTGAACCACACAAAGGTGAAGCCCTGGCCAGGCTCTGGTTCAGGCCACAGTCACACAGCACCACCTGCAGGAGGAGCGGGGAATGACTGCCTCTCGCTGCCTGCTACAGCACACATATGCCGTGTACCCCAAAAGCCCAGTGTGTGAGAGGCTTGGTCCCCACGGTGGTGCTACTTAGAGGTGGTGGAACCTTTGAGAGTGGTGCCTGGTCTGGGGTCCTCAGGTTATTGTGGGTGTGCCCGAGAGGGGAATTGTGGCACCCCCAACCACTTCTTTCTCTCTTTGGCTTCCTGGCCAGGAGGTGAGCAGTTTGTTCCTCCACACACTCCCTGCCACGGCCCACCAACATACCTACTCCAGTGAGGCCCAATGCAATGCCTCCACTCTGTCTTTGACTAGAACTTCTAGACCTCTGAGCCTTTTATCTTTACAAGTTAGTCACTTCAGGTGCTTTATTACAGTGACATGAATCTGACTAATATACTTACCTAGAAGCTCAAAGCTGTGCTTCAAACACCCAGAAGCTGTTATGAAAGACTCCTCAGCCACCTGATTCACCCTTGATCAACCCGTGACTCCTCGGGGCTGCTGGCCATTGTTTCCAAAACACTACAAGAATGCCTTGCTGCACCTGCTCTTGCTTCAAAGAAGAGAAACTCACAAACCCAAGCCTAAAGAGTACCAAGTACAGAGGTCAACTGAGTAGCACTGGGAGTAGACCTTTAAACATATCACTCTAATTTGTCAATGATACTTCAATAAAACTTACAAAAAGAAGTTTCAAGAAAAGAACTGCTTAAATAGTATTGCAATGCTGTCAAAAGAAAACAGTGGCCCATTTGAAAAGGTCCCCACAACTAGTCGCAGTGGCACCCACCTGTAATCCCAGTGATTCGGGAGGCTGAGGCAGGAGGATGGCAAGTTCAAGGGTAGGCTCGGCAACTTAGCTAGACCCTGCCTCAAAATAAAAAATAAAAAGGACTGGGGGATGTAGCTCAGTGATAGAGCACCCCTGGCTCAAATTCCCAGTATCAAAAAAACAAAAGAGGAGAGGCTCCCACCAGCCAATCAAACCTGGGACAATGTGAACATCAAGATAAAGGATGACAGTAATGGATTAGAACCCACTGAATAAAATATGAATTCATAAATCCACACTAACAAGAATGAATACAGGAGAAGACTGTTCATTACAATAAAATGATAATGTGTAGAAAGAACAATGGATTAGAAAAATCACCATTGGCCGCCATGGTGGTAATAAATAATTCAACTAAGAAACAAAAAAGAATCTAAAACCAGTAGGAGATCAGGATATTTACACAGACACAAAACATCTATTTAATAAAAGAAAAAAAAGAGCAACCACCAGTCAAGAAGAGTGGCAGACACCACCTTCCCAAACTCGAAAAGTCAGCCTGGCTAGCAAAGGAACAAACGGAAATTGCGTACCATGGGACAGGATGCCATGAGAAGAGCACAGCATGGCCACTGCACCATTCCTGCCAAAGACACACAGCCAGAACCCCTGTCGCGCCAGTCACCACAGAGACATCAGGCACACCCAAACTGAAGGGCATCTTACGACAGGGCCGACCTGACATTTCCAGGGTATCAAGGTCAGAGAGCCGAGGAAAGGCTGAGGAACCACAGGACAGACTAGAGAATCCAGGCTGAGACTCAAGGCGTGACACTGACACAGAAGCACACACACCTTCCTGCTGCAAAGGGCGCGACTGAGACAGTGTGTTAAATACAATAGAGTCTGACGACTGGAAGAGAGGATGGGTCTGGGCTGACTTCCTGGCTGAGGTGGGCGGGCTGAATGTCTTTGTTTACAGGAAATGCACACTGAAGTGTCCACAGGCGACAGGACTCCATTGGGCAACTTTCTCTCAGATGACTCAGAAAAAAATATAATCCTTTAATCATGTGACTTTTCTATCAATGTGAAAACATTTCTTTATAGGAGTTGCACACCTATAAAGTCACCTGCTTAGAGGTCGAGGCAGGAGGATCACAAGTTTGAGGCCATCATGGACAACACACCAAGACCGCACTACCATGGGGAAAAAAAAAAGAATGTTGAAATAAATAAAGTTAATGGGTACAGCATCCACAGCACTGGGGACAAGCTGGGTGCCCTCCAAGTGCTGACGAGAGCTCTTAGTCAACAGAGAAACAGGCTGCCCACAGCATCTGTAGCTCACATTGACCTAGGTTTCCTCCTGAATTCAAGACACCATCCAGGACAGCAGATCACACCTCACTAAAATTCAAGGGTTGCAAGAATGTGATCAGGAAAAAAAAAAAATTCTATCTTCATTTCTATTAGCCTCAGCTGAAATTCAATTACGAGCTAAGGAACACTGTTATTGCTCCAAACAATGACCAGGCGTGTGTCATTCCTACAACTTTATCATTAAAAAAAATACAGTTAATACACTTGTTTTGTACATATCACTGATACCTCAAAATATTCATTCTTGGGACCAGGGGTGTGACTCAGTGGGGGAGTGCCTGCTTAGCATGTGCGAGGCCTTGGATTCCATTCCCAGCACTGAAAAAAATTATCATCACCACTTCAAAGCTACAGCAGTCACTGTACTCACCACTAGACCGTGTTATTTAACACAAGAATAAAAGTATCACTTCCATAGCATAATTTTTGATATTTTGAAAACTGGACTTAAGAATATTTGGTTCCCTTCATAACTCTCTGCATATAATTTGTGCATGTAGTGTTTCCATGGAGGGGGTCCTCGGCTTTAGTTAGGCCACCAAAGGGATGCAGAGGAGCAAAGAGAAGAGAGCCTGGGCCCAAGAGAACCCCACTGTGCTTCCAGCCCAACAAGACAAGGCCAAGGCAGCTCCTGCCGTTGACGGTCTGCAAGGCTAAGCCACCAGGCTGGTCCTGACAAGTCAGTCACCAGCCCGACAGAAATGCCAGGACCTTCTGTAAATTATGCCATAAACCAGTTCCAGGGGCTCCTCAATGCCTTCTGAACACAACAGCATCATGTGGGACTCTCTCACCAATGAAAGAAAACTAACAGGATGCCCAACCCAAGGTCAGGGTCCTGATTCAGGGCTTACTCCAGGGCCTGTGCTCTTTGGCCCACCCATCACTGCCCCGCCCTTACTTAGACCATGTGAAAAAGAAAAAGAAAAAGAAAAGATAGTGACAAAATAAGAAAACCTACTGCTTCTGGAGCACCTAATAAGAGGGGAAGTGATGGTTATTAAGTGTGTGATCTTGAGCAAGTTTCTCAACCTCTCTGTGCTTCAATATCCAAATGAAGGAATAATTCTTTAAAGCACATGGGGTTGTTAAGAAGATCAAATGAATTAAATCTATATGAACCTCACAGAATGATACCAGGCTGCGTGCAGTCAACACTTCATAAATGCCATCTGTAACTAGTCCCCAGGCCCCAAGTGTTGTGCTCCATACTTGAAAGATCTTATCTCTGATCACAATGCTGAAAGGACTACATTCATTTCCCCATTTTTTGGATGATGGAACTGCTTCTCAGGGAACAGAGTTAACTTGTTCCAGTCCAGTCAGCTAATATAGGTTCAGTTGGAGTTTGTGCACATATATAACTTCAAAGCCAACCAAGAAGGGCTAGGAAAAAAAGATCAGGAAATGTGGATTTCTGGTGGATGGAGTGTCCAGTGAAAAAATCCAAGCCCTGGACTTTATCTCTTAACTCGATATCTGAAACCTGGGCTCTAAGCCACAGAGGGGGACCAGCCACTGCCCCAGCAGGGCCCAATTGCCCTGCTCAGCTCCCTCCCTCCCTTCTTCCTAGAGGCCACTCCCAACCCTCACCAGGGTTCACAAGCCACCACTCTCCTCAGCTCCTGCCCTCATCCCCCTCCTGCCTTTAAGGAGAGACAGTGCATCAATTGCTACTGCACACTGACACACTCAGGGCCTCTCGGGATCGCCCGGGGCCAATCTCACTAGGAAACTCTCCAACTGCAAGGGCACGCAGGCTCACCTGCAACCCAGAGCTAGTGTGCCATCACCTGCTCGCTGTCAGGATGACTTGCCAGCAGCACTGTCCCAAGCCAGGCACAGTGTCTGCTACAAATCAAATGCTATCACAAATACTTGCTGAGCTGATGATTAAAAAGGTAAGAGAGAAACACAGGAACTGATGTGAATCTTAAGAGCAGAGTTTCCTGTGGGTATTTTGCATAATGGAAGTCAGGGTGAGTCAACGTCTTCCTAGAAGCAAATTGCTCACCCATGTTAAATAAATGAACTCTTCAGAGCCATTTGGGTCCCATTTCATCAATCACCTATTCCCCACGTAGAATCATACCCCATTAGAATGAAGTCATTGGGCTCCCTCTGCAGAGCTGACGACCCAGCAGAGTGCCCAGGCTCAAAGGCAGGGCTAGGCCACTCAGGGGAGCTGCCCCACCCCACCAGGCCCTTTGCACAGAGAAGGCTTGTCGCCATCTCACAGCTACTGTGTCTGACCCTGCTGCACTTCCTCCGCAGCCCTTGGAGTGATGGCACACTCCCCTGCCTTGCCTAAGAATGTCCCTAAAAACTGGGAAGCAAGTCCTAGGAAGACACCACTCCATTGTGACAGGTCCTGGGCCCTGGAGGACTAGGAAATTCCAAGAATTCCAAGACACCAGACATCTGGAGTCACAGGATCAAAGTCAAAAGCAGAGCTCCAGAGCCCATGACTTCTGTCCTCAAGGTCCAAGGGACTGTCCTGGTTCTTACCCTCCCCAGCTGTAGCTGCTCAACCCCTGCCTGGAGTCTGGGACAGCCTCTAGTCCTGCCCAGCTGGGACCCCCTTACACTGATGTTTTCCTCAAACTACTCAATGTGGGCTTCCACAGCTTATAACCCCAAAACCTTTACCTCCTCTCTTACACTACTTCTAATACTCTCAGAGGAAGGCACGCAATTCCCCACTTCCCAGATTACACAGGTGCATTTCAGAAAGACTAAGCAACCTGCCTGAAGTCACGGAGCTACTAAGTAGCAGCACTGGCATTCTGACACCAAAGTGGGCACTTTGTACTGCCACCATTTTCTTAACGACTTGAAGGAAATACATGTCATGTGCAGACCACACTCTGAGGAGGCAGCAGACACGTAAAGAAAGCCTAATGGATCACTTCTTGGTAATCAGGGCAATTTAGGGGCCTCGTAGATAGATGGTTTCTAGTAGCTAGGTCACAGCCCTGCAACAAAGACATTTATTTTAATACTTAAGAAAATTCACCACCGATGTCCCAACCACGTTAATAACCAAGCTATAAATCTCTGGTGGTAGCAAGTCAAATATGGTCAGTGTGTTTTATTCTCTCTCCTTCAATTCCCTGATCATCTAGCATTAATTCTCGGGATCACACAATGATTAGAAGGAAAACAGACTACCCAGAGACTATGGAGACATCATAATAGCTTCAGGCTTTTGGTAGAAATGGGCAGAGGATAATTCCTAGGTCAACACAAAACAACCAAGGGCGTAGCAGGAAAAAATCCACATTTTCTACAAAGAAAGGACTACAATCTGAAAAGCATACTTCTCTTGGAAAGAAAAAAATATATATAAAGCTGCAAGAGCTGGATTTCTTAAATTGACACCTACAGATTTACAATTCTTAAGTGATAATTTATAATTCTTTATCTACATTTTACATTTTGCAATTAGTCTTGAAGAACAGAATTAAAATCTTTACTAAAATTCTTAGGTATTTTGCACAGTAATTTAAATGTCACTTGGATCTGATATTACTGAGGTACAGATATCATCCAGCACAAAATAAAAACAAAATGTATAGATGACAAAATAAGGGACATTAAGTTGGAAAATACTCAATCATTCAGTAAGTTTATAAACATTTTGTTCAACACTTCTTACATGACTAAAATGAGATTCAAATTAGCAAAGTTTAATAATTAAATGAATTCATTTTAGTAAAGATATGTCCCTCCGAAAAACTAGATTGTCTGCGACTTTGTTTCAAAATAGACCACCTTATTACAGGTGAATGTGCTTTTTAACCGCCCAGCTAATTTTTGTCAAGATCCAATAACTAAATGCAAGTTAAAATCACAAAATACTAGCCCTCCAACACTCAGTTATGAGACTTGCCCAAGGTTACTACCTATGTGGAATGACAGAGCCCAGAGAGAAATCCAGGTCCCCAGATTCCCAGCCCAGCCCAAGACTCCACTACCCCATGCTGACACTCTCAAGGACAGCAGCAAAGGGACAAACACACAGTGAGAAAGCATCCTAAACGTTCAGCCAATGACACACCAAGACCAGGTCTGACACAGCTGGCACACAGTGCCCCAGATGGTACTGGCTGCTAAAATACTGAAATGCTGCTACACTCATTGGAAAATGAGCCCAGGCCCATCCACTCCATCCACCCCACTGCCCTGGGACCTGCCCTTGATCCAGGATGTGGGGTGTGGGGGTGCCTGGAAAAAGGCAGGCCTCAATCTCCCCACTCCAGACCAACTGCCTGAGTCTGTTCTGATGGCTGATGTTCCAGTTGTAATTATTTTGAGAATCACCCTTCACAAAACCACAAGTCACAATCAGAGTCATTCATCAGAGAACTCATTTGCATAAGAGTCTTCTGTCTTCTGCACATATGAACTTAATTAGAGGTAGGTTTTAAAAAAAAAAAAAAATTGGATACAGCCAACTCCGTAGCTTTCCCATGTCTGGCTGCCTCGCTGCATTATTCACTCACTCAACTACCATTTTCAGAGCCGGGCACTGGGCTGTGCTGGGATTCAAGGATGAGTGCCAATTGCCACCCGCAAAGTACCTGGCCCTGGTGCTGCACTGGGGTTCAAGTGAGGGGAAGCAGAAAGGTGGGATCTACATGAGGAGCACGTGCCACATTGCAAGGGCCTGGACAGGGTTGTGGGCCAGAGAGAGGAGGCTCCCCTCTCAGCAGGGCCCACAGGGAGGGAGACAGAAGGGCAACATCTGCAGGAACCCTCAGGAGTTAGCAGGTGAACAGGGAGGGAAAAGCCCCCCAATTAGAGAGGAACACAGAGGGTATCTGCAGGAATCTGTAGCAAATGCTGCTACTGGAGATGGAAAAAATGAGACCCGAAATAATCTGGGGCTAGATAAGAGTGGTCCACCTGCTGGGGCACTCTTCACATGCATTTCAACAGAAGAATCCCCCAGACGTTTGGGACCACACAGTTCTTGAGAGGTGACCCCAATAGAGCAAATGTGAGGCTCCTCTCTTAACAAGCTGCCAATTCTCGGTTTTGTGTGCAGGGCAAATACAAACGCTCAGCTGGAGAATGCTAATCTGAGGGTGGCTAGACAGAGAACCCCCTGTCCTGCCTGTCATAAGCTCAATTATCAGCAAGAAGACATCTGAGGATCGCTAGATCCGAGGAGTTATCAAATACGTTTCAGAAGAGAATATGAATACATTCGCATGTGAACATCCAATTTCAGTCAAGCTTACCTGAGAGAAGATGAGCTTGCTGCCTGGTGACTGTTGAGAAGAGCACTTTTCTGTTATTAAGCCTTCGCTCCTGAACTCAAGATCCTCGGCAGTCATTAAATACCGGTTCTGCTGTACTGCTTCCAAATCTTTTTCATTGAATTTCTAAGGAAATGAAACAAATCATAAGAAAGTTTTCATCAAGAAAAAATATTAAGAGATTGTCCTAAACCCTGTAGGGGAAGATTTTTTATTTTGTCATGATACTCACATGTCCCCTAAGTAATTTCCATCATTTCAAAATATTAGGCAATTATAAAACCGTAATGCAACTCCATTTCCACGTTATTACAACTTAGAGAAAAGCAGACTGGTGGCAAGGCAGAGCTGAGGATGGTGCCAGGGGCTAGGAACCTTCAGGCTTGCCACCACAGTGAGCGTCCTTTAGCGGGTGTGGAAGAAAACGTCCAGGCTCTGTCCCAAGAGAAACAGTCCCAGTCCTAGGCCTGCCCCGCTCAGGTGTGATCCCGGGTCTGCTTCCTATCCTGCCAGCCTACTGGGTGAACAGAGGACTTGTATATTAAAATCCAGCCAAGTCTATCTTGAAACATAATAAATTTTGACAAAACTTGAGCTGACCATATCCACAAGGAGATCTGACTTTCGGAAGAAAAAAAAAAAAAAAAACTACAAATATGGCAGTAGAGTCTGGCCACACACAAAAGGCTCTTTCTTGACGACACACAATAAATTCCTCTCCCTGACTCCTTCAAGAGACCTGAATCCAACAACTGGATAGGACATTACTCTGGTCTTTGGCCAAGTTCAAGCACAGAACTTATTACCAAGCATTTAAAGACTCATGGCTCCAAACTAGGGCTCTGTTCTTTCCCTGCGGGAAATTAAGGGAAGGAACCATATCTTGCTCCTAAGCCTCTAGCAGAACTAATTTATCATGCCAAACAGAGACAGTAGCTGAACGCAAAGAAAGAAGCAGAGGCAAGTCTTCATAAGAAACCATTGAACTGTACTAGGAAGAATCAAACAATGAGCGCTGACTTTCTAGAATTGCCTTAACACAGCTGTGCTTGAATCACACTTTCCACTTTCATTTTTTAAGTCCAATTATACACATGTAGTTTCACACTCAAACAGCACTATAAGGCTTAACTGGAAAACAGCAATCCCTGACCTCCCCACTTCTCGTCTTGAAGCCCCCACACAGAGAAAGAAAAACACCTGCAACTCCTCATCTCCTTCTCCTATTTATTTCCACATTTCTAGATTACATTCTTTACCTTCACATTCTTGATTTCTTAAGTTCTGATTGTATCTATAGGTTCCTATCATAGAGGTTTAAAAATTTAGCTCTTACATCATCTGCATCTCAATTTTATCTTTAGTTATATCATCATCATCATCATCATCATCATCATCATCATCATCTATACCAGGGATTGAACCCAGGGGCGCCTTACATCAAGCCACATTCACAGCCCTTTTTTATATTTTATTTACAGATAGCCTCAGCCTCCCAAGCCGCTAGGATTACAGGCATGCACCCCACATTTATATTATCATAGCCACACAAATATGGCTCAGTGTACAGCACTCCATGATTTCATTTCCATTCATGTTCAATTCTTTGCTTTCTTGGAATTAATAATTATCTTATTCTATTTGTTTACTTAATCCATAAAATTAAATTATATACTAAATGTAAATTTATCTCCAAACTTTCTAAAAGAACATAAAAATTTCACTCAATGAAGTCAAACACATCAGGTAACTGATCAGTTCCTTGTTAGTTTCTGGAGAAGCCCAGCTGAAACTCTAGCCCTCAACAGCCCAAACCTGAGCTCTCCACATAGGCAGCTCAGCTGTGACCTTGGGACTCCCCTTCACAACATTCCAAGTGGATTTCCTCCTTTTTGGGTCCAACATCTCTTTCTTTTGGGTTATTCCCTTCTTTGTACAGAATCAGCCTCCAAGAGCTTTTTGCAAAGAGCACACAAGAGGCCAACAACTGAAGACAAAACTGAACATCTGAAAACACCTTTCTTCCACGTTTACACTTGCTGACAGCACGGTTGAGGACAGAGTGCTCATAACTTTTCCTCTGTCTTCCAGTGTCCACGGGTACTGTTGGGAATTCTGATGTCATCTGAGCCCATCCTTTTTAGGTGCCCTGTATTTTCCTCTCTCTGGATGCCTTTCAGGTCCTCTCTCTATTCCTGTGTTCTGAAATTTCACAATGATCTGCCCTGGAGTACGAGTTTTCTCTCATTCCCCATGAGAGAAATGGAGCAAGCCCTTGCATTGTAGAAGACCTGGCCCCAATCTGGGACATGGTCTCCCATTTCTTGGAAATCTTCCCTCCTCAGCTTTCCCTGCTGTGTCTCCTGGAACTTCCATTAGTCCATATTTTTGGACCCCTTGAGCCATGTCTCTAATTTTCTTAACTTTTTTCTCCCTTTTGCCCATGTTTTTGTCGGTGTGATTCTATTTTCTAGAAGACTTATCTTCCAACTTTTCCAACTCTTCTATTTTTTTTCATAAGAAACTCGTAAGTAATATAACTAACTCTTCTATTAAATGTTTTATATCTACAATCATACTTTGAATTTCCAACAGACCATTCTTCTTTTCTAGATCTCTTTTATATCATATCCCAGTTTTATTTCTTATCTAATCATTTAATAGGGATAATTTGGTGGGTTGATTTTTGTTGGTGGTAGTGTTTTATGGTGCTGGGGATCAAACCCAGAGCCTCACTCATGCTAGACAAGCACTCTACCGCTGAGCTCTATATACCTTGGCTATAGTGTTAATTTGGGGGATTTTTAAAAGCTGGCCAACTTTGCCTTGTTTCCATCTCCTCTGTGCACCTATGTTCTGTCTGGGCCTTTTTGTCTTTCTTCTCAAACACTTTCACCTGTCTGATGAACTCAGGCTGTCTACCTACTTTTCACAGACAAAAGTGCTCAGAGCTCTGTGAGTGTGGAAAGGACATGTCAGTGGTGTCCTCAGTGTGATGTCAGCTGCCAGCAGCTTATGTCACTTCTCCCCTGAGAGGAACCTCTGGTCTTGGTGTGTACACTTCTACTCTCTCCCACTCTGATCCCTAAAACCCACTCCTGCTCCCAGTTGCATCTGGTGGCTCAGGGCCAGAGTTTATCTGGTTTAAGGTCTCCACACATGTGCTGCTGCTGAGAAGAGGAGGGTCACCTAGAACTGCTTGGTATTCCAGCATGATCTCCCATTTCAAAGGTACCACTGCATCCAGCACCTACTAAGCCTTCCTGGGGCCACGATATAAATCGGCTTGCTTCTCTTGGCTTTCATCCCAAGGTATATAGCCTGGTAACAAATGCTGAGTCCTACTGCAATTCCCACTTGCCCACCCACTTATCCTCCAAACTTTTCATGCCGACTCACAATGGCTATTGTACCTGCTCCCACTGTCCTCGTTAGTTATTGTGGGTTTTATACCTTCTTCTTCGTTCACGGTTATTTTAGTGAGATTTTAGTAGGAAGCAGAATTAAACACTCATGTTCAACCTCCCATGGTTCTATAAGTCTGTGTTGAGTCTGAAAAATTCACTACATTACCCAAGAAATATATTCCAAGACCAAAAGGAGTCATTTAAAGAAGTCATCCAGAGTAGTGAAGAGGCATGGCCCAAATAAGGAACAGCAAGTACCCACTAGAGAAAAACAGGCCAGGGCTCTACCACTCATCAGATGACCCAGGACAAGTTGTTCTCCTCTCTGAGCTTCCTGTTTCTCTTACTCTCCTCATGGCTGAGGCTCAAATGACATAAATGACATCTAAAGTTCTCTGAGACAGAACAATGAAAACTATAATCATAACAGTTCCTAGAAAACAGTTCCTAAAAACCATGCTAAATCAAAAAATTAAAAGAAAAAAGAAAAAAAAAAAAAGTCGCAGTACCTGAAGCAGCGGGTCCTTTTGACTGGCACTTTCTATCAGATGTCTGATTACTTGCTCTTGACCACGCAATTTGTTATTGCTTTCACTTAAAAGACTCTTGTAGCAATTCTCCACTGCTTTCTCTCTTTCATTGACTTCATTGCATAATTTTTCAACTTCATTTCTCAGGTCCTACCAGGAGAAAAAGAAAAAAAATGAAATTTATTTGATAAAAATTTTGAGGTAAGAATCAATTACCCACTGGACTTGCCAAATTATCACTATAAGAAAACAAGCTAATTGATGTATTTAACCAATGTGTATTTCCTGCTCATTCAGAATCTTACAAAAGCCAACTTTAAGAATATCTGAAATTTAGAAAAAGTTTTGTGCACCTATATTTATCACAATATTATTTACAATGCTGAAAAACCAGAAAGAAACTGGAGCCAACAACAGAGAAGTAATAATGAGAAAATTAAAACAGTATGGAATAGAAAAAGCACAATTATGAGTAATATCAAACCAGGATTCCAAACTGTATGTACAACATGATGCTGTTTTCGATGTTTACACAAATGCTGCAAGGTCCTCAGGGAACATATAAAAATTATTAACAGTGCACCTACATGGAGGGAGGGAGGTGTTTTTCAGTTTTACCCTTTTTTCTTCTGAGTTCCTAAAATCTAGGTAATCTTGTATTACTTTCATAATCAGGAAAAAAAGTTTCTTAATACTATTTACAAAGAATTTATAATATGGAACTATTTATAAAGACTATAATATGGGAAATTATCATGTTATAGAGTTAAAAATGAAAAAAGGCAGTTTATAGTACAATCGTGACTACCTTAAAATATGTACTATTTGTAATATTGAAGCACAATTCATAATAGCAAAAGGCTATAAAACCCAAGTGTCCACAATAGAGGAATCAACTATGGCGTGTTCTTATAATGGGGCACACTTGAGCTATAAAGAAAAAGGAATGGAACTCTCTCTACAAATATACTGCCCTAAAGAAACCCTCAGAATATATTAAGTAGGGGTGAGGGGAGAGAGGAGAACCCAAGAGAAATAAGTATGGACAGCATACTACCATTTATTTAACCATAAAACAAATTAAATGGTAGTTGCCTATACGGTAGAGAGAACAAGGTAGAAGAGCAGAAATAGAGGCTAGAACTCATTTTACAGATGTGATGTTGGAACCATTTAAATGTTTACAAAATTATGTTAAAAAGAAAATAAAAATCCCCTGAAACTAAAAACAGTGCAAACAAAAGAACCAATCTAATTTGGTATTGAGTTGATTAGCTAAGCAAACATACAGGAATTATTTTAATAACTTGAATGCAGAGTAATTTGTGGGTCCCCGGTGGGATACTTTACTCTAAAGACAAAAGGGGCTGCAAAAAATCTTAAAACTATTTTCATTCATCTTGTTGTAAGTCATAATCTTGGTAGCGGTATGCTGAAGTTAGATATATGTATATAATATATATTTATTAAATAAGTAATTATTAATCTCAGAAAAAGCATAAGAATGAACACAAACTTAAAGGCTAAAACTCGTAACTCTAAATTTAAATTTGAATCTCAGTAAACTTATATTTTACTTCCTTCCTTCCACTGAATAAGGCCAGCATCAGTGTCCTCCCTGGTATCCAGACTGTAATCTCTACCAGAGTTCCTTAAAGCAGAAGTTCTCAAAATTAAGTTCCTAAAGCAGCAAAATTAGCATCACGAGACAACCAAATATCCCCACTTTAGGATCCCACTTCAGATCTATTAAGCCAAAACCTCTGATGTACGAAGGCCCACCAATCTGTATTTTCACAAACCCTTCAGGTAATTCTTATGCACACTCTCAAGACTACAGGATTCCTGTCCAAGGAACTCAGGAACCAACTAGAAAAAGCTTATTCTATTGTCCAAGAATAGAAAAATTAGAATTTTAAAAAAGATAATTATAATTAATTCATATATCAAAAATCCAAAAGTCTGGGCTGAGGGTGTAGCTCAGTGGCAGTGCACTTAGCTTACTCTAGGCTAGAGGTTCAATCTCCAGAATTTAAAAAAAAAAAAAAAATCCATGAATTTATGATGCTTTTTAAAAAGGCCTTCCATAAATCTGATAGACAGAATAACAGCCCCCTTCTCCCAAAGATGTTCACATCCTAACTCCCACATGGCAAAAGAAATAAATATAATGGAATAAGGTCCCAAATCAGCTGACCTTAAAATAGAAATGCTACCCGGGATTGCCCAGGTGGGCGCAACAGGACCACAAAGATCCTTAAAAGTGAAAGAAGAAAGCAGAAAAGACCCCGCCAATCACTGCTGGCCATGAAGATGAAAAGGGGTTGTGGGACTAGAAACCAGGCGTCTCTAGAACCTGGACAAGACCAAGAGGTCAGGGTGCCCTGCAGCCCTCAGGAGGAGCCTAAGCCCTACCTGGCCTTACTTAGCGAGACCTCATTCAGACTTGACTTCAGAACTGTTAAGATTTTAACTCTTTATTGCTAAGTCACCAAGTTCATGGTAACCTGCTGCACCAGCAATAGGAAGCTAACACAAGAGCCTCTGGTGGATTCCAGAAAACTCTTATTTGTCTTTCCTGGAGGAACTTCACCTAAAGATAACTAAATAAACGATGAAAAATAAGTATCTCTTAATAGAAGTATTCAGCTATAAACAAAAAGTGGAATAATGAAATGAGATTATTACCATTTTGCAAACAAACATCAATGGCTAATAATATCTCAAAATCAGGGATTATCAAATGTTTGGAAGAAACAAAGAAAATGTTTTAAAAATAAAATGCTAATTTAATTTCTTTAATTTAAATTTAAAAAATTGGGGCTGGGATTGCGGCTCAGTGGTAGTGATATGCTCGAGTTCAGAACCCCCAAGAGACCACCAGAGACCAAGATTGATGTAAGCAGCAAAAGAGGTGTTTATTGGGAACTAGCGCGGTCCTCCAAGCGCACACAGCAAATGGTGACGCTGAGAGGCCCCGAGCCCAGGGTTTGCAGCAGTTTTGTACACTCTTTGGGGAAGGCAGGGACTTCACATACTTCATAGCATCTCTTAGCAAATCATCACACACTGTGGAAAAATCATAAAACAACTCTAAAACATGATTAGCACATTCACTGGCGGGAACAAGCTGGATAAGGGTGATTGGTTAGTACAAGAGCAGGATTCGTTTGAACTGATTGGTTTAAGCCACAAGGGGTGTTCGTGCTGAACTACATGGTTTCCCAACATGTTATCAACCACCATAAACTACTCGGAGGGTCATCAGGCATCCCAGGTATTTTCCTGTCTCATGCTGATCGGTGGTTGCTACAGGGTTGCTATGGGTCCTCATCTAGCCTGACTGAGTCAGGGACACCTGGGCACAGATCTCTCCTGTTATTTGCAGACAAACAACTCACCAGGGTGGGTATATACCTAGGAGTGCTCTGTGGGTTTTTCCAAGGACAAGGGCCACACCCGCTTCCTTGAACAAGCTTTGCTCTGAGGTAGAGGCTGGTTTCTCAAAAATGGAGTCACATCAGTTTCTCAGTAGTACACTTGCCTAGCATGTATGAGACACTGGGTTCGATTCTCAGTATCACATATAAATAAATGAATAAAATAAAGGTCCATCAACAACTAAAAAAATTTTTTTTAAATAAATAAATTTTAAAAATTAAATGTTAATTACTTTTCTTGGATAAAAAATGATGTGATTGCCCTAAATATTTAGTGCAAAACAACTCGACCAAGAACCTATCATGAATTATAAACAGTAAAGAGAAATTCAATTCTATTAGAGAAGAAGGTTTTTTTTTTTTTATTATTGTACTGGAGGTTCCAGGGCCCCCTAACATATACCAGAAGTGGACACTCAAGTAAAAGTGGACACTCTGATATGTAAAATAGCACAGTGTTTATATATAACCATACATCATCCTGTATACTTCAAATCATTCTGGACTATCTACAAAACCTAACACAATGTACATGCTATATAAATAGCTGTTAGACTTCGTTATTTTGGGAATAATGTCAAATTATTCTATGTTTTCAGTACAGGTACAACTTTTTTCCCAAACATTTTCTATCCAAGATTGGTTGAATCCGTGGGTGTAGAACCCACAGATACAGAGAGCTGACTGTAATACCAAAGCACAAGCAAATTCTAAAATTAAAGAGTTAAAATGTTCTCCCTCAATACAATCACACACCAACAAAATAAGCCATTTTCAAAGTGTGAATGCTCCTTTCAGACCTTGTCCATCTGCAGCCATAATTTTTATATAATTTTAATTTTGGTTTGGACATTTTCTTATTATTATTTTTTACATTATACCATGACCTACAGAGAAAACACAGCAATTAAATAATGAGGACATAAAAAGTACAATTAAAAACAAAAAGGGAAGTTTAAGATTATGAAATGAAAAAAAGTTGCTTGGTTTTTTTTTTAAGTTTTGGGATGAGGGAGGTCCACGGAAGTGCCCCAGTACTGCCACCTTGGCTCAGATATCCTTTGAGCCAGAGAGAAAGAGAAGGCGGGTTTGCTTAGCAAGACTCCACGTCACGGCCACTGCCCGCACCTGCAAGGTAGGCAGACCTGTGTAGGCAGACCTGTGTAGGCAGACCTGTGACTGACCGGCAGAACAGGCCCAGTGACCCGCCGGCGGGGTAGACACGTCACCCCAATTGGAGGAGGGGCAGAGCAGAGCCGCCGCCCGCGCCTGCAAGGTACGCAGACCTGCAACCGACCGGCAGAACAGGCCCAGCGGCCCGCCGGCGTGGTAGACACATCACCCCAATTGGAGGAAGGGCCCAGCTGCCGCCCACAAGGGAGGCAGACTGCGTGTCCCGGAGAAGGGGCCCAGCGGGCCGCCAGCCTAGTTGAAAGATAACCCCAATTGGAGGAGGGGCACAGCCGCGGCCCGCACCTGCAAGGTAGGCAGACCTGCAACCTGGAGAACAGGCCCAGCGGCCCGCCAGCGTGGTAGACAGATCACCGCTATTGGAGGAGGGGCCTAGCCGTTGCCCGCAAGGTAGGCAGAACACGCGACCTGGAGAAGGGGCCCAGTGACCCGACGGCGAGATAGACAGATCACCCCAATTGGAGGAGGAGCACAGCTGCTGCCCGGCCCTGCAAGGGAGACTTTGCAACTATACAAGAG